AACCAGGCAGGTGAACCCCGACTCTGGTTCCGCTGCTGGTCACCCTTCCTTCCCCGAAGGTACGACCCGTCGTACCTCCGAAGCGGTTCGGTATGACTCGACCCGAGTGGCTGGCACCTGGGCCCCCAGCTGGGTCCCAGCGAAACGAAGGGTCGACTAGAGGTCCAACGGGTTCGGAACCAGCTGGGTCTCTTTCCTACAAAGGGTTAAGTGACCTGAACTGGGACCCTACCAGGGCCCCCTAAGGGGTGGTTAATGGACACCCCTTAACCTCTAAGGAGCTATTATTAGACACCCCTTAGGGGGCCTAGTATAGGATAGTCTATAGGGTTCTTCAACCTCTGCTGGTTAAAGGTCTCCTGCCGCCATCAGAAGGTACGAAAGACTTCGGTCAACTCCCGGCAGTTCCATGTCTTCCATGCTTGGACTCGTCCCGGCTGGATGTCGGTGGATGTGACGTTCGGAGCGAGCTCTGTGACTGCGGGTTCCACTGCAGTTCTGCTGGTTCCTTTCTCTTGATCAGATCCAGGGTCACTTTCCTGGACTCTGTCCGGGACACTGAAACTGCGATGAATAGCTGAATTCACATGTGAATGGAGGAAGAGTGTTTTTTTTGTTCAAGGTATTAGCCATAAAGTCAAGGTTATCGGTGATTGATTTGGGAATGGATCAAATCTCGTGCTGCACGGAGTGTTCACCTTGCACACTCCACACCTGGAAGACTGGGCAGAAACATGTGTTTTTGGGTGGAAAACTCTGGCGATGGGAAGATGGATAGGGGTCCCCAGAACATCCACTCACGTAAGGGAACCCCAAAACCACCCAACTCCATGTGACTCATGGCATGAGGTGCCATATGAAACTTGGTGAAACCTTCCCAAGCATCGCCTCCCTCGCCATCCATCGCCTCTCACTCAGGTTGATTGGAGAGCTCACTTCCAGTGCTGGACTTTATAGATATTGGAAGTTCATCCTCTCTCCAGACGTCCATATGATGTGAATCCTCTTCATTGACTTATGGAATGAGCTGCTTGGGATTCTGCTTGTCGACCATGGATTTTTCACACTCTGGCTTTTCAGCCTCATCGAAAAGTTGGACTTGACCCGAAAGCACGATGTTGGCCTACGGCTTAGCATGCCTTGGCAGTTCATTGTCTACCTTAGACTTTGTGCATTCAGAGTCCTTGTCATTGCCCAAAAGCTTCGCCCGTTTCGGGCCTTCCGCTTCACTCTACAGTGCCTCGTGCCTTGGTAGCGTTTCGTCAGCTTTGGACTTTTCGAACTCTGGGTCTCTCATGCCACTACGGAGCTTTGGGCGAATGGGCTCTTCCACCTCCGCATATGCCTGTGCGCGTTCGGGACTGCCAACATCTTCATCAGACTTCGGCAACTTTGGTCGTTCAACGTCAGCTCGAAGCTATGTGCATCTAGGCCTCGCTGCTTTACTCTATGGGATGTCATGTCTTGATTTCACGATATCCGTGTTGGATTACCTCCACTTGGGCTTCTCGCCTCTCTTGCAGGGCTCGGTGCATCTAGACCTCGCTGCGTCGATTTACGGGGTGACACGACCAGGATTGGCTTCGTCGGCCATGGACCATGTGAACATCGGTTCATCTTTGTCACTCCACTTCTCCGCCAGGCTTGGCTTGTCGTCGTCCGCCTACGGCGCCAGCCGCTTGGGTTCTGCGTTGCTGGTTTTGGACTTTGCATGGATGGGGCCGTCCACGTTCTCGAGTAGCTTCCTTTACTTGGGCTTCTTTTTATCCATGTATGGACTGGCTTGAACAGGTTTCTTTTCGTTCGCTATGGATTTCATGAGAGTCGGCTTTCCGTTGCCGATACGAACCTGTGTTTACTTGGCAGGGGACTTGTCAGTCTATGGCTTAGGTTGACTGGAGTTGAGCTTATCCACCTTAGACTTGGTCAACGCAGGTTTCTTTCTTCCACTCCAAAGTTTCACGCATCTGGGCTCTTGCCTCTCTATTTGGGGCATGTCACGCCTGGAAAACTCCATGTTAGCCTTTAACAAGGCTGAGTCTGGTAGTGGTGTCTCTTGCTCGAGCTTCGCACGCTCAGAGTCCACGCCGTTGGTGTTTGGCCTATCCCGGCTGGGTGCATCACTGCTGGTGTCGGATCACGCCAATTCAGGCTTGGCATTGCCCTTGAGAGGTTGTGCATAGCTGGACTTGGCACTTTCAACCTACAGCTGTGTGACCTTAGAGAGCTTCTTGCCAATCTTGGATTCCGTCTCCTTGGACTTCACAGTGTTCTTGCAGTGTCTCACACGAAAGGACTCATCCATTTTGACATATGGCATGGGATGCTCAGGTTTTCCCTTGCTGGTCTTGGATCTTACCCATTTGGGTCCTGCCATATCTTCGCAGGAATCGGTTTATCTAGGTCTTTCTACACCGACGTATGGATGCGCTAGATTGGGATCCTCACCTTCAGTGCTGGATCTCTTGAATCTCGGCTTCTCAACTTTACCACGCGCATCAGTTCGAGCTGAGTTGTTTTTGTTAGTCTACGGCTTGGCTTGGCCTGGTTCCTTTTCATTGGTGTTGGACCTTGGACATATGGGTCCCGGCTTGTTCTCACGAAGCTTCTCGCGAACCGATTTCTCCTCGTTGGCGTATGGCATGACATGTTTGGGTGAGACCTCTTCGGCTCTAGCCTATGCCAACTTAGGCTTCTCCTCGTTCGTGGGTTCCTTCGCACGCGTGGCGCGAGGTCAAATGGTGGGTGGTGCTGTGCGGATGGGTTTGGCTTTGTTCGTGTCAGACTTTCTGAAGTTGGACAGCTTGTCGTTACCTCAGGGTCTGGTTTGTTCTGATTCGACCACTTCAGCCTTTGGGATGACGCGCTTGGACTTCAGCATGTTGGTCTTGGATTTCTTCCACTTGGAATTCTTCACATCGTTGCATGGGATGTCATGCTTAGGCTTCTTCGTGCCGTCGTCCGGGGTGATGAGATCGGGATTGTCCTCGTCGACCTTTGACTTTGCCAGTTTTGGCCTGCCTTTGCTGTCGAGAAGTTCCATGTGAGCAGGTTTCTTGATGTTGGTCTATGGCATGTCATGCCTTGGCCTGGCGATGCTGATTCTGGACTTTGTGTATTTGGAGAGCTCCTTGTCGTTGCAAGGGTATTGCCATGTGGGACTGGCGCTCTTGGTCTTTGGAATGGTTTGCACTGAACTCGTGTCGTTCATGTTAGATTCTCTGAACTCAGGCCCCTCCCTGTTTCCAAGATCATGTATGTAACTTGAGCTCTCCTCATCGGCCTATGGACTCGTTTGCTTGGACTCTTTGCCATTGGCCCTAGACTACATTCACCTTGGCCTAGCTTTGTTGCTCAAGGCCTTTGCCCAACTGGACTTGTCATCATTTCTCTTCGGCATGGCCTGTTTGGGATCCTCTACTTTAGTCGCTGATTTTGCCACTCCAGGCTCTACCATGTTGTCACATGCCTTGGCTCATCTAGGCTTGAGCTACTTGGTCTATGGCATGTCGCGCCTGGGCTTGGCAGTACTGGTCTTGGACCTCATCCACTTGGACTTCACCGCCTCCATGCGTCTCTACACTCGTTTTGGTCCCGCACTTCTAACCTTCGGCATGAGTTGTCCGGGCTCCTCTCTGTTCGTCTTGGACCTCGTCACGGTCGGATCCCCGCCTTTTTCACGCAGTTTCGCCTAGCCGGGGTTCCTGTCACCCGCGTATGGCTTCTCATGACTGGAGTTCATCATGCTGGTTTTGGACCTTGTGCATTTCGACTCCTTCACTTCGATTCGCTCCTTAGCACGATTGAAGTTCTCCATGTTGGCATATGGCCTGAGCCGTTTGGGACTCATCTTGCTGTTGCTTGATCATTTTATGTTGGGATTCTTCTTGCTTTCGCAGAGCTTCGCCCAATTCGAGTTGAGTGTGTTTCCCTATGGCATGGTGCGGATTGAGAGTATACTCTTGGTCTTAGACTTCTTTCATTTGGAATTCCCAATGCCGCTCCAAAGCGTGTGCTGCATGGGTCCTATGTCATTGATCTATGGAATGTCGTGGATCGGCTTTTTGTTGTTGGCACTTGACCCTGTCACCATGAGCTCATCGCTACTGCTGCAGTCGTTCATGTGTATTGGCTTGGCCCTATTCGCTTATGGTGCCACCTGTTCAGGCCTCACCCCATTGGTTTTGCACGTGGGGATGTCTGGCAGCTCACTACCTCTCAGGGCGTCTATGACTCTGGGTTTCACGCCTCTGACTTATGGCCTTTCCCGCTGTGGCTTGCAATCATTGGTCTCAGACCCCGTCAGTGTCGAAAGTTCCTTGTTCTTGCGTGCCCTAGCATAGTCAGACAGCGCTTTATCCGTCTATGGCATGTGCCGCATGGGTTTGCCATCTTTGATCCTTGATTGGGCCTCCATGGACAGTGCAGCATCATCAAGAAACCCAGTGCGATCAGAGAGTATCTTGTTGATTTTTGGAATGTCATGCTTGGATCTCCCTCCGTTGGCGCCAAGCTATGTGAGTGTGGAGTTCTTCTTGCTTCTACGTGGTCTCATCCACTTGGACCTGCCTTTGTTGGCCTTTGGTGTGGCCAGACTGGAATTCTCCACGTCAACTTTGGACCCTGTGCACTTGGGCTTTCAATCATCTCCTCGTGGTTTGTTGCGCCTTGGACTTTCGATGTTCGTGTATGGCATGGCTTGCCTTGAATCTCCCCTTTTCGTCTGTGACTACGTCCACCTGGGTTCAGCGTCACTGCTACAGGCACATGCGCGACTGGAATTGGCGACGTCGGCCTACGGAATGGCGTGCCCAGAGCCTTTGCTGCCAATGTTGGATTTGGCACATGTGGACCTCCTGCTGCTTTTGCATCATTTTTTGCGCACTGGCCCCACGACGTTGGCCTTTGGGATGATTTGACTGGGATTCTCACCACCCACGTCGGACTATATGCGTCTGAGCTTGTCGTTGTTGTTGCGAGCATGGTCAAGGGCTGGCTTCATGTCGTCGGCTTACGGCATGTCCCGACTGGGTGATTCCTTGTCCGTCCTGGATCTCTGCCGCGTCGAATCCTTCACGTCGGTGCGAAGCCTTGTTCGCTTGGGGCCCACTTTGTTCACCTACGGCATGTCCCAATTGGACTCCCCACTCTTCGTGTTGGACCTCATTCATTCTGACTTCTGCATGCCTGCTCGAACTCATGCGCGACCTGAACTTGCCTCACTGGCCTTTGGCTTGACATGGCTTGGCTTCTCACTCTTTGTCTTGGACTTCACGACCTTCGGTTCCTCGCTCTTGTCAAGGACTCATGCACAAATGGGGAGCCAACCCTCAGTGTACGGCCTCGCACGGATGGACTTCCCTTTGTTGGCACTCGATCTCACCACCCCTGGAAGCTTCTTGCCTTTCCGCACTCTTGCCCAGCCGGAGCTCGTGATGTTCGCATATGGAGTTCTACGCCTGGGATTCACCTTATTCACCTCAGACTACTTGCAACCTGACTCTTCTCCATCACCTCAAAGCTTTGTGTGTTGTGGCTTGGCGTTGTTTCCCTATGGTGTGGCAAGATTGGATCTTTTGCCATCCGTCTCGGAGTATGTCTGGATGGGCTTTGTGATGTCTTTCCGATCCTCTTCTCAGCTCGATCTCTCCACATCTGCGTATGGCATGGCACGTTCAGGCTCGACGCTCTCAGCCTTGGACTTTGTAACGCTTGGCTCGGCCACTTTACTGCGAGCGCTTGCGCGGATGGGCCTGTTGCTGTTGATGTTGGGATCCCTCGACATTGCCTCAGGATTGAAAGTCTATGGTCCAAACGATTTTGACAGTGCGTGCTCTGTACGGAGTTATGCACGATCAGGTTTCTCCTTGTCGCTCTTTGGTGTGACATGTCTGGGTTTTCTTTTGTTGCTCTTGGACTTTGCCATTTCGGGCTCGCCCTTCTTCTTAAGGAGTCTTTGCCACATGGACTCCCTCATGTTGGTTTTCGGCTTGGTGTGTTTGGGAAGCTTCTTGTTGGTCTTGGACCATGTCTCCCTGGGTAGCTTTCTGTCGATGAGTTCGCCCATCTGCTTGGACGAGGCCATGTTGCTGTATGACTTTGCCAACTTCCGTAGCGGCTTGCCATTGAGGAGCTATGCATGTTTAGGGTTTCTGTTGCCCGTCTATGGCTTCGCATGCTCGGGCTTGCCATTTTCGGTCTTGGATTTTGTGCACATGGAGCTCCTCTTGTTGCTCAGGTCCTTTGGATGTTTGGACTCCTTGGCTTCAGCCTATGGCATCAGTCGCTTGGGTCACACCTCACTGGCTCTGGATCCTTCAGGCACGGGCTTGGCCTCATTTTCGCAGAACTACCTTCGTGTAGAGTTCATGACTTCACCCTATGGGGTCACATGATTAGGTCCCTTCTTGCCACTCTTAGACTCCTTTTGCTTGGACTTCTTGCTGTTGCTTCGAAGCCTCACATGCTTGGGAAGTGTGTTGTTGGTCTATGGAGCAGCCTGTTTGGAGCCTTTGCCTTTGGCGCCGGACCTCGTGACCATCGGCAGCTTCTTGCCTCTACACACACTCGTGCGTTCGGATCTGGCCACGCCCATCTATGGAACCAACTGTTTGGAGCCTTTGTTGCCGACCCTGGACCCTACACACCTTGAGCTAGTTCTGTTCTTACACGCCCTCTGCCATTCTGGCCTCCTACCTCCAGTCTTCGGCGTGTCATGGCCGGAACCCACGTCGTTGGTGCTAGATATCGTTCACTTGGGACTCTTGCTGTTTCTGCAGGCCTTCATGTGCTTGGAGCCCACCTCATTGGCCTATGGCATGTGCTGCATCGGTCCTATGGCATTTCTTTTGGATCACCTTCAACTTGGTTTCTTACCATCGCCTCAGACATACCTCCGGATGGGTTTGTTGCTCTCCATTTACGGCATCTCAAGACCTGACTTCTCGCCGTTGCTGCTGGACTTTTTACACTTGGACTTGACTCCCTCGATCCAGAGCCTCATGCAAATTGCCTTCTCACCCTTCGCGTATGGACTGAGCCGACTTGGCAGTTCCTTGTTGGTCCTGGATCTCACCATGTTGGGGCCTATCTTGCCACTGAGGGGATATACCTGCTTGGGCTTCTTGCTTTTGGCCTTCGGGATGATGTGCTTGGAGCTCTTCCTGTTGGTCATTGATCCTTTGACTTCGGGATCCATACCATCCTTGCAAGGGCCTTTGCGGCTTGATTTATCACTCTCAGTCTTTGGGATGCACTGCTTAGAGCTCTTCCTGTTTGCCTTGGACTTGATCCACTTGGAAAGCTTCTTGTTGGCCCATGGCTTTGCACGTTCGGGCTTGAGCTTGCTGGTCTTTGGAATGACTCGTTTGGGCTTCCTGCTGTTCTTATTGGATTCTTTGGCCTTAGGATTGCTCCCGTCCTTAAAGAGCTTTGTCTAGCTGGACTCATCTTGCTTGGTCTATGGCATGTCTTGCATGGACTTGGCCTCGTCCATCTTGGACCATGTGAATATGGACTTGGTGCCTTTCTCACAGAGCTTTCTGAGGCTGGACTTGGCACTCTCCGTCTATGGCTTGACTCGCTTGGGCTCCACGTCGTCGATGTCGGATTCCGTGCAAGCGGACAGCTCTCCATTCTTGCGAAGCTTCTTTTACATGGAGCTCTTCTTATTCACCTATGGCGTGGCAACGATAGAGACCCAACCTTTGGCCCTGGACCTCGTATCCTTAGACTTCTTCTTGTCCTTGCACTCCTTCTTGCGCCTGGGCTTCCTGTCGTCCCTCTTTGGCCTCATGCGTTTGGAGTCGCCCTCGTTCGCACCGGATCGTTCCTCGGCTGGACCTTCGCCGTTCTCGCGCAGCTCCTTGTGTTCGGAGCCCTGCATCTTGGCATTCGGACTGGCGAGGTTGGACTCCACCTCATCGCCATTGGACCTCGGCGATGTGGAGTTCTCCTCATCCATTCGAAGCTATCTTCGTATTGACTTCACACTTTTGGTCTATGGTCTCTCTTGGACGGGTTTCTTTTTATTGGCACTGGACTTGATTCAACCCAGCAGCTCCTTGTTCTTAAGGTCTTTCATTTGCTCCGAGATCATCCTGTTCGCTTTCGGGCTGTCCTGTTTGGACTTCTCTCTCTCGGTCTCGGATCCCCTGCGTTTGGGATCCACACTGTCGTCGCAAAGCCCCATGAGACCAGGGCCGACCTCATTCACCAGCGGATTGGCACGGCCTGGACTGTCCTTGTTGGCACCTGACCCACTCTACTTGGACTTGATCTCATTGCCACGGAGCTTCATGAGGATAGACTTGACCATGTCACTCTATGGCATGAGTTGCATGACTTCTGTACTGGTGTTGGACTTTGTCACTCTTGGCTTCTTCTTGCTCTTGCGAAGTTCTCTGCGACTTGAGCTTATGCTGTTGGTGGTGGGGATCTCGCAATTGGGCTCCAGTCTATTGACGCTGGACCCTTTGAATCCTGAGCTCACCTTGTTCATGCGAAGCTTTGCATGGTTGGGATCAGTTCCGTTGGTCTTCGGGGTCTCTTATCCGGAATCATTCTCGTTGGCTCCAGACTACGTGTGCTCAGACAGCTTCTTATTGCTCCAGTCATTCTGCTGAGTTGACTTCACGATTTCAGTCTATGGCCTAAACTGTTTAGACTTTTTCTCATTGGCCATGGATTTCGCAGGCATTGGCCCTTCCGCGTTCTTGAGAAGCCACTTCCATTTGGGTCCCTCTTCATTGGTCTTTGGCATGTCAACCTTAGGCTTCATCTTGTCAATCTTGGACTACTTGCAGCTGGGTCTCTCCACATTTTCGCGATCTCACATGTGTCTAGACTTGCTGCTTCCGGCCTTTGGTATGACCAGGATAGGCTTCTTGACGCTGACGTTGGATTTTGTGCTCATGGACCTGGTCTTGTCCTTGCAGAGCTTCATTCGATCAGACTTGCTGCCGCCCATGTATGGCCTAAGCTGCTTGGACTTGAGTCTCTTCGTGTCAGACTTTGTATGTATGGACTTCGCCCCATCGATCCGACCTGCCATGCGACCAGGCTTCACATCTCCTCCCTCTGGAGCAGCTCGCTTGGAGCTGTGCCCTTCGGTCTCGGACTCCGCGCAAATCGGATCCTTCTCGCCGCTGCAGAACTCTGCAAGGTTGGACTTTATGTCGTTGATGTATGGCATCTCACGGCTCGAATTCTTCCTGCTCGCCACAGATTCCGTGACCTTTGAGTTCTTCATGTCCTTGCAAGGTCATGTGCGACTTGACATTCAGCTATTCTTGTATGGATGTGACTGTTTAGGGTTTCCGGCATTGATCTTGGATCCCTTGTCTTCGGGTTCGTCGACCTTGTCAAGGAGCTTTGTGAGAATTGAACTCTCCTTGTTGACCAGTGGCTTGTCACAATTGGACTCATCCTCATTGGTCATGGATTCTTTTCAGATGGGTCCCGCTCTCTTGTTGAGGTCTTTCATGCACCTGGGATTCGCGCTTTTGGTTTGGGGCCTTACTCGGCCGGGTCTTTTCTTGTTGATTTTGGACCTTGTGACTCTAAGCAAGACCGTCTTCTTGAGAAGCATCGCCCAGCCGGGGCTCAGCTCGTCAGTTTATGGCTGCTTGAGGTCGGACCTGCCTCTGTTCATCTTAGACTTGGCACATTCCGACAGCATGTCTTCTTTACGCAGCTTCTTGTGCTTGGACTCGGCGCCCTTCATCTATGGTGTGTCCTGCCTGGGCTTGTTCTGGCTGGTTTTGGACCTTGTGAAGTTGGACTTCACCTCGTTGATCCATAGTATGGTCTACTCAGGCTTCTCACCTTTCACGTATGGCTGTGCTTGTTTAGGGCCCTCCTTATTAACCCTAGACCTTGTGAGTTCGGATTCTCCCTCGTCCGTTCACAGCTTCGTCACCCTGGACTTCGTGCTGTTCGTCTACGGATACACACGCCTCGGCTCACCGCCATCGGTGTCGGACTTCGTGCATTTGGGCCTGTCGTCGTTCCTGAGGAGCCCGTGCTGCTTGGAGTTCCTGTCGTCGGCCTCTGGGTCATCTTGATTGGACTTGTCCATGTACGCGGATGAGGAGGTGATTTTTGGGAGCATGATGTCAGTGCGATCCTCCATACGCATGGGTTCATCGATGCTCGCCTATCACCTGTCTCGCTTGGAGCTCTTTTTGCCGTGTTTGGATTATACACTTCTGGGTTTTACGATGTTTTTGCGATCGTACTTCTGCATGGGCTTTTCCTCGTTGGTCTATGGTCTATCGAAGTTAGACAGCTGTTTGTTGGTCTTGGACCACTTGAACTTGGACTTCTCCTCATTGTTGCATTCATTTGGATGATCAGGCTCTTTTTCATTGGCCTCCGGCTGCATGCGACTGGGACTGCCGCTGCTCTTGCTGGACTCTTCTTCGTTCGACAGCTCTTTATTTTTAAGAACCTTTACTTGACTTGAGCTTTCCTTGTTGGTCTATGGCATTCTTTGCTGTGGCTCCACGCCATCCGTACCTGACTGTACACGCTTCGACTCGACCTTGTCCCCCCAATCCTTCGTGTGTTCAGAGTTCTTCTTGTTGGCATATGGCATGACTCGGCTGGACAGTTCACTTTTGCCCTTGGATCTTCTGGAGGCAGGTGGCTACATGTCCTTGAGATCCTTTGCATAGTTGGGCTTCGCCTCATCAGCCTATGGAATGTCACGTTTGGAACCTACTGCATCGGTCCTAGACCTCATCTCTTCCGGCTCGAGTCCTTCGATGCGGAGTTATGTTCACTTGGAGTTCTTCGTATTCACGTACGGCCTCAGTTGCTTAGAACTCGTCTCATTGATGTTGGACTTTATCCACCTGGGTTTCAGCTTGTCCTTGCGAGGTTTTACCCGTTTGGGCTTCTTCACGTCTGCCTTCGGACTCATGCGCCCGGATTTGGCGATGTCTTCGCTGGATCTCGCACAGCCAGGCTTGTCGACGTTCTTGCGGAGCTTCCTGCGCATAGGATTTACTTTGTTGGTCTATGGCATGACATGCTTGGGCTTCAACCCTTTGATCTTGGACTTCATCAAGCTGGGTTTCTCTTTGTTCCTGAGATCCTTTATTCACTTGGGTTTCTTTCTGTTGGTCTATGGCATGGCATGGCTATGCAGCTTGGTGTCAGTCTTAGATTACATCCATCCAGGCCTTTCCCTTTTGATGCAAGGCTCCTGCTATTTGGACTTCCTGACGTTGGCCTTCGGCCTGTCTCGCTCGGAGCTCTCCTCATTTTCGCTGGACCTCTTTCAGGCCGGCTTGACCCCCTTCTTGCGGAGCTTTGCGCGCTCGGGGAGTACCTCGTTGCTCTATGGCTGCTGCATGTCAGACGCTCGGAGAGGGAAGAGGAGTTTGGAACAACGGGGGAAGTGGATTCCACTCTGACTCGCGCTCCATGAAACATGACAACTGTGCAGGGCAGTCTACGATGTTGCTTTCCTTTCCAGGGTGCTGGGGTCATCTGCAGAGCATTTACAACAAGCTTGTTCCTTGGTCACAACCTATCGGTCAACCCAAGCGAATAGGCGCCGTGCCTTTACTTGTTGCGGCTCGCCGAGCCGTGCCAAGTCCGAAAGGGTTCGGTTCTTTCCCGGGCCTTCATCCGACTCCAAAGCTGGAAAGGCTGGTGGGGGGTTTCGGACCAACGCTGGGCGTTTTTGCCCGGCGCCGGTGGGTGGTTTTTCCCAACGGAAGGCGTTGGTGAAACACTGACCGTCTCAGGGTCCGGACATCGGTCTGAACACGAAGACCTGAGTGAGGCACCGGAAGGACTGCTGTGAAGAGCTTGCTATACCCCATGGCTATGGCTATAACCCCCTGGTTGCATCCTTTCTAGACGATTTTTGTAAAGAAAGGTGGACCCGGCGAATGGGGGTGTCCAATCCTTGAGACGCTCAAAGTACGGCGGTTGATTTGAAAGACGCTTCAAACAGACTATGATCCGTCGCAGTGTATCCGTCGAACACCACATGCTAGCATCGTCCGACGCTTCCAGGACACCCTGTTTGCTGTTTGGGGCTTCTATTAGGTTCGCCCCATGAACTCGATGTGATTCGGGGTGTCCAGAAAAAAAACACCCCGACCTGGGGGTCCTGGTGGATTTTGTGTTTTTTTTCCAGAAGTTCAGCATGTTCGGACCTCCTTCACCATGCGTTCGCTGGGTACACCATGTGTTCAGCTGTTTTCATGGTCCCTGAAGCCTGGAGCACTCATCCATACTCACCTGGTTGACCTCGCAGGGAGACTCATATCGTGTAAGGTCATCTATTCTTATTCGGTTCATTTGCGGAACAAATCAGGGCCCCATGTACCACCCATCGCCATGTGATCATTCCTACATGTTGGGGGTACCACATGTGACCGGTCGACCCAAAAAGCTCCCAGCTCAGTCCAGCCAGCTCGTTCCCCACTAAGGACCCGTCCTTGTTCGTCTTGGGCTTGACTTACTTAGCATTCTTGCTGTTCATCCGTTGCTCCACTCGTTTTGGCTTGGCGACTCCAGCCTATGACACCACGCGCACGGGCTTGCTGCCGCTAGCCTTGGACCTCGTGCACGTGGACTCGCTGATTTCGGCGCGGAGCCTCACGCAGCTGGCGTTGTTTTTGTTGGTCTATGGCGCCACACGGTTGGAGTTCAATCTGTCCGTGTTGGATTTTGTGAGTTTTGGTTTATCCTTGTTTTTGAAGACCTTTTTCTGCATGGAGCTCTTGTCGTTGGTCTATGGCATGCAATGCATAGGACTGATACTGCTAGTCTTGGATCTCTTTCAGATGGGCTTCGCCTTGTTCTTGAGAAGTATGATGTGCCTGGACAGCTTTGCGTCCACCTACGGCCTCACCACTTCGGGTTCCTCCACCTTTCTCCTGGACTTCTTGCACTCAGACTTGTCGCCCTTGTCAAGATCCTACCTTCGTTTCGACAGTTTGCTATCGGTCTTTGGCTTAGCTTGCTTGGGATTCTTCTTGTCGGCCTCGGACTTTGTCACACTGGCCTTCTCGATGTCACTCCAAGGCCTCTTGCAGATCGACTTCACATCGTTGGTTTTTGGATTGGCCTGCTTGGAGAGCAGCTCATTTACTTTGGATTTAGTCTCCCTGGAGTCCTTCTTGTCCACGCGTCGTCTCGTGCAGTTCGAACTCTTCTTGCTGGTCTATGGTATGCTGCGACCAGAGTCCATGTTGCCGATCCCTGACATGATCAATACTGAGCCGACTTTGTCCACACAAAGTCTCTTGCAACTGGGTTTCAGTCTTTCAGCCTATGGAATGTCGTGTTTGGACTCGAGTTCATCAGCGATGGACTTCCTTCAGTCAGAATTCATGACGTTGTCACAGAGCTTCATGTGTCTTGAACTGATGATGTTTGCAAGTGGATGTTGCCATCCAGGACTGTCGCTCTCAGTCTTAGACCACATGTATTTTGGATTCGCAGTTCCTGTGAGGTCCTTCATTCGATTGGGCCTCATCACGTTGGTCTTTGGAATGGCTCGGCTCGGGTGTGCCACGCCGGCCTTGGACTTCGACACATTCAGCAGCTCCATACCTCTCCGTAGCTTTGTGTGTTTGGGTTTTTCAATGTTCATCTACGGCATGACAAGGATGGGCCTCATGATACTAGTGACGGAGTTTGTGAATCTGGAGAGCTTCTTATTCTTGAAGACCTTCCTGTGCTTTGACTCGCCGCTGTCCACCTACGGCTTCTCCAAGTTGGGTTTCTTCCTTCTAGCCTTGGATCTTTTACAGTCGGGTTTGGTGTTGTCGCTGCAGAATCTCGTGCAATTGGGCTTGCCCATCTTCTCATATGGCCATACTTGCCTGGGTTCACTTCCACCCACTTTGGATCATCCTACTCTAGGCCTAAGCTTGTCATTGAGGGGCTCCCTGAGGCTGGACTCTTCGACCTTGATCTATGGCTTCTCAAGCCTAGAGAGTTTCTTGTTGGTCTTGGACTTCTTCCAACTCGACTTCTTCCTGTTGCCTCATGGCATGTTTGAATGTGGCTCCAAGTTATTGGCCTTTGGCATGACATGTTTAGGATTGCTGCTGTTCTTGCTCGACTTCCTCCACCTGGGAAGTTCCATTTCGTTACGAAGCTGCGTGCGATTTGGTTTCACGCTCTTCGCTTACGGCTTAGCTCGTTTAGAGTTCCCATCGCTGATTCTGGATCCTGTGCAACTCTCGAGTTCCTTGTTCTTGCAAAGCTTTCTCCACATCGACTTCTTCTCGTCGGCCTTTGGCATGTGCTGTTTGAACTTGTCCTCGTTAATCCTGGACTTCATCACTTGTGGCTCAGCCTTCTCTTTGCACACTTTCACATGTCCAGACTCGAGCTTATTGGCCTATGGCATGAATTGACTGGCATCGCCACTCTCCATCCTCGACCTAGTCTATTTGGGCTCCTTTTCGTCCTTGCAGAGCTCCACATATCCAGGATCATTCTTATTATTGTTTGGCCTAGCATGGATGGGTTTCACACTCCTGGCACTGGATATCGGCAGCCTTGGTTTGTCCTTGTTCCCGCAGTCTCTCCTGCATTTGGACTTCACTTTATCAGCCTTTGGTTTATGTTGCTCAGGGGTCTCATCATTGGCCTTGGACATCGTGGAGATTGAGCCGCCTTTGTTTTTGAAGGCATCCATGCGAGTCGGACCTTTGACGTTGGTCTATGGCTTGAGCTGCTGCGACTCCTTGATGTTGACCTTGGACCCTGCGGGATTTGACTTGTCGCTCTTGTCACGAAGCCTTTCGTGAATGGACTTCTCTCTATTGGCCTATGGCATCACCCGATTGGAGTTCTTGATGCTTGTCTTGGACCCTTTCATGCTGGGCTCCTCTTTGTTCTCGCAAAGTCTAGGATGATCAGATGCTGACCTGTTCGTCTATGGCATGACACGACTTGACCTTTTCCCGTCCATTTTGGATCTTATTCACTTGGACTCCACCTCGCCCATCCACAGCCTCATCCGATGTGACTTCTCATTGCCCGTCTACGGCCTTTCGTACCTTTGCTCAAGCTCACCAGTGCTAGACTTTGTGAACATTGGTTTGATCCTGTTCATGCGCTCTTGGGGTCGCCTCGGATTGGCATTGTTGGTCTATGGTATGACCTGTTTGGAGTTCATACCATCTACCTGTGACCTCATGCACGTGGGATTTTCGCTTCCAATGCGCTTCCACACACGCTTCGGCAGTCTCTTGTTCGTCTATGGTATGGGTCGTTCAGGGTTCTTCTTGTCAGCCTTGGATTTCATCCATGTGGGCTTTTTCTCGTTGCTGAGGAGCCACGCATGCATGTCATCCAGCTTATCCACCTACGGTCTTACTTGTCTTGGCTTTAGCACCTCAGTCTTGGACTTCATCCATATGGGCTTGGCGCTCTTCTTGCAGAATGCCTTCCATTCGGGACTGGCGTCGTTGGCCTATGGCATGATGCAGTTGGACTTGATGATGTTTGTCCTGGACCTCGCACACATGGGCCTGCCCTTGTTGCCTCGCGCATCTGTATGCTTCGAGCTCTCCTTGTTGGCGTTTGGGCTCACATGCTCGGACAGCCCCTTGTTGGCACCCGATCTTTGCACCATGTGCTCCTCGCTACTCTTGCGTGCCTTCGCGCGATTTGGACTGTTCACGCCCTCGTTTGGCATGATGCGCTTGGGTTCTTTGTTGCCGATGGCAGATATCAGCAATTCAGGATCCATCCCTCCGTTAAGGAGTCTCTTCCAAATCGGCCTTATGACTTTCGCTTACGGCCTGTCCAGGCTGGGATTGTTGCTGTTCATCCTCGACTGGTGTCAAATTGGCTTGTCTACACCCTTACAGGGTTTCTTGTGGACGGGTCTCACTCTCTTTGCCTTTGGCATGAGCACTTTAGGTTCGCCTCTCCTGATCTTAGACCTCCTCCATTTGGGTCCAACGGCCTTGGTGCGGTCATCTAGTCGACCAGAGTTAGCACTCTTGATCTTCAGCTGCTGCAAATCGGACTTCTCACTATTCTTGTTAGATTTCATGACCTTTGGAAGCACCCCATCCTCACGGAGCTTTACATGTCCTGGTTTGCCCTTGTTCGTCTATGGCATGTCGCGCCTGGAATCCTTGCCGCTGGTCTTGGATTTTGCGACCTTCGAAAGCAGCTTGTTGCTCAGGAGCTTCGTTTGATGCGGTTTGCTGACGTTGATCTACGGGATGGCATGCTTAGAATTGGCCTCGTCGACTTTGGATCTTGTGCACTTGGGATTGCTCGTGTCGCTCAGATACCTCTCACAGCTTGATTCAGCAATGCTGGTCTATGGTATGGCATGCCTTGAATCTTTCCCATCAACCCTGGACTTTGCACATGTCGACTTAAGCTCATCGTTGAGAGCCCACATTCACTCAGATTTCTTCATACCTGTCTTCGGACTCTCGCGATTGGACTTGATCTTGTTTGCCTTGGATCTCATCCACATAGGACCTTTTCCACTCTTGCAAAGCTCCTACCACTCTGGATTGGCATTGTTCACCTATGGTATAGCTTGGCCAGAGCCCTTCTTGTTGGCCATCGACTTTGCTTTGCTTGGCCTGGTGTTGCTGGCGCGGAGTTATCTGCGCTTGGGGCCTTTGATGCCTGTCTACGGCATGAACTGCTTAGGTTTGCCCTTGTCGGTGCTAAACTATGTGCATCTCGAGCTTTTGACACCTCTCAGGAGTCACATTTGAATCGACTCCTTTTTGTCGATTTATGGCTTAGCTTGACCCGACCTCCTGGTCCTGGTGCTGGATTTCGTGATGCTTGGCTTCACCATGTCGTTGCAAGGGCTTACTCGAATTGATCCCTTTCCCTTGCTCTTTGGCTTGTCGCAATGTGGCTCCTCCTTGTTAGCTTTAGACTTCGCATTCATGGGAAGCACCATGTTCATGAGAGCATTTGTGAGGATTGGACCCGCCATGTTGGCCTATGGTATGACTCAATCAGATTTATCACTCTTTCCGTCGGACTACTGCCACATTGGTTTTACCTTTCCATCACGACAGTTTGCACGACTGGGCTTCTCCACATCGGTTTATGGGCTCACCTGCGTTGGCCCTTCCTCATCCGTCCTGGATCTCGCCATGATTGGCAGCACCCTGTTTTCGCGTGGCCTCATGCAACTGGGAAGCTTCGCGTCCGCCTTTGGCATGTCTCGACTGGAGCTCTCGCCCTCGGTGGCAGACCTCGTGCGCTTGGACAGCTTCTCGCTGTCACGTGGCTTCGTTTGGACGGAATCGATGATCTCGGCTTATGGGCTGACTTGCTTGGAGCTTTTCTTGTTGATTCCCGACCCTTTGCACCAGGACTCTCTAGTGTTCCTGAGGGGCTTTGCTTGTTTGGACCTGGTGTTGTTGCTTTATGGACTTTCGTGTCCAGAGTTTTTACTGTTGGCTTTGGACTTTTTGAGTACAGGCTCAATCCTGTCAATTCAAAGCTACACAAGGCCAGGAAGCATTCCATTCGTCTATGGAATGTCAAAGATTGATCTCTCACTCTTGGTACTGGATCATATTCGCATCGACTTCTTCTTGTCATTGAGATATTTTGCACATCTGGACTTCAGCTTATTGACCTTCGGCTTAGCCCGTCTTGAACCGCCCTTTTTAGTGCCTGATCACCTGAATGTGGGCTCCTTCTTGTTTGTGAGGTCTCTTGTGTGGCCCGACCCACTGCCATTGGTTTATGGCATTGCAAGGCTGGACTTGACATTGCTGGTCTCAGATCATAGTCATTTCGACCCTACACCCTCCTTGCAAGCTCATGCTTGTGTGGACTTGGCGCTCTCAGCTTACGGAGTCTCGCATTTGGAGCTGTCCATATTTGCCTTGGACTTCGTGAATTTTGACCTCACCTTGCCCTCACGCGCCCTTGCTTGCACTGAAGGCTTGTCGTTGGCCTATGGCCTCATGTGCACTGAACCGAGCCTATCATTGTTGGATCTCGCTCAATTCGGAAGTTCGCCTTCATCAAAGACATACGCCTGAGCTGGATTCTCATCATTGGCCTTCGGTCTGTCTCGAACCGAATTGATGTTACCAACATTGGACTTCGTACATCAAGGCCCGATGCCTTTGCTGCGAAGCTACTGCCAGTTGGGATTCTTGCCCCTGGTCTATGGCATTATGAGGATCGACTCGATGTTCTCGGTTCTGGATTTCATCCATTTAGGCTCGTCACTCTTGCCCCGAAGCTCCGCTCGCTACGAACTGGCCATGTCCGTCTACGGCTTGTCGCGTTCGGGATTGACCTCGTTGCTCCTGGATTCTGCACATTTTGGCCCGTCCACGTTCATGAGATCTCATACTCACTCAGACTCTGTGATGTTGGCATATGGCTTGTCTTGCCTTGGCTTGACGCCCTTAGCCTCAGACTTCCTATCCATCGGTTCAAGTCTGTCTCTGCACAGCTGGTGTCAAGTGGGTTTCTTCTCGTTGGTCTTTGGCATCACCTGTCCTGGAGTGGTCTTGTTGGCCTTGGATCTCTTTCATTTGGACTTCTCTTCATTTCCTCGATCCTTCCTTCGTTCGGGCTTGCCGCTCTTCGCCTTCGGCCTCTCCCGTTCAGACCCTTCGCTCCCTTCACTGGACCACATCGCCATGGGGAGCCTCTTGTCCACGCGGACGCTCATGTGAATCGAGAGCTCATTGCCCGTCTTTGGACTGGCTCGTTTGGGGTTGGCGCTGTTGGTCTCAGACTTCTCGCACTTTGAGTTCTTCTCATTCTTACGAGGCCTTTCATGCATGGGTTTGCCACCCTTGGTGTTTGGCTTAGCATGCTTGGGTTTCCTCCTTCCCATCATCGACTTTGTGCACGCTGAATTGTCCCTGTTGCCTCATAGCTCCACCAGGCTGGACAGTGCCATGTCAGTCTATGGCTTGTCATGTTCGGACTTCTTCATGCCACCCCTAAACTGCTTGCCATCAGGATCGATCACGTTCTTGCGTGGACTTGTGTATTTGGGTCCTGCTTTGTTGGCCTATGGCATATCTTGTCTGGACTTCTCGTGCTCCGCCTTGGACCTGATGCATTCTGAGCTCACATCTTCACTCAGATCCTTCTGTCGACTTGACAGTGCCTCGTTGGTCTTCGGGATGACTCGATTGGAGTTCTCCCCGTCCATTTTGGACCTCAGCTGCATGGAAAGCATCTTACCCTCAAGGGCCCTGTGTCGATTAGACTCGGTCTCACCTGCCTATGGCATCAGTTGCTCAGGTTTCTCCTTGCTGGTCCTAGATCTCGTGCACTTAGGCTCCACTCTTTTCTCCAAGACCTATGCATATTTGGGCTCGCCGCTTTTGACCTATGGCTGCTCAAAACCAGACTTGAGCTTGCCAGCATCAGACTTTGTGAATCTAGAACTGTCGCTCTTCCTGCATTCCTTTCTCCAGATTGGATCGGCGCTCTTGGTCTATGGCTTGACATGAACCGATTTGCCTCCTTTTGTCTTGGACTTGTTCCACCTAGATTTGCCCCTCTTCTTGCAAAGCCTCATCCAAACCGATCTCCTCATGTTGGTCTATGGCATCACTTGCTTGGGATCGACCCTCTTAGTTTTGGATCATGTTTGTTTGGAATCCATGACTTTTGCGAGAGGACTTGCGTGTTTGGAGCTCTTACCACTTGCTTATGGTCTAAGTTGATCGGAACCTTTCTCGCTACCCATTGACTTAATCCACTTGGGCCCAAGCTTACCTCCCCGATCATATGCCTGCATCGGCTCATCCCCCTTCGTCTTCGGCTTGGCTTGTTTGGGTTTGCCCATTTTGCTCCTTGATCTTGTCCAGATGGGCTTCCCACCGCTTCTCCGAAGCTTCTTGCACTTGGGATTCAGCTTGCTGGCCTTTGGGCTTTCATGCTTGGACCTGTTTTCATCCGTTTCGGACTATGCATTCCTGGGCTTCGATCTATCAACTCGAAGCTTTGCTCGTCCGGACTCCAGTGTGTTCCTTTGGGGCATCAGCAAGCCTGGAAGCTTTTCATTGGCCTTGGATTTTGGACACTTTGACTTCACGCTCTTCCTAAAGACGATGGCCCAAATGGACTCCGCCTCGTTGGTGTGGGGCATATCGAAATTGGAGCTTTTCCTACCAACCTTAGACTTTGCACACTTGGAGCTCTCTCCCTCTTCACAAAGCCTTGGTCATGGTGCATCTTTCTTGGTCTATGGCATTGCACGTTTGGACCCATCCTCATCGATCTTGGATCATATGACCTTTGGCTCATTGATGTCACTCCAAAGTTCTGCAAGGTCTGGATTCTCCATCTTGGCCTATGGCCTATGCTGTTCAGGACTCATCTCGTTGGTCTTGGACCTTGTGCATTTGGGCTCCAGCCTGTTGCTCCATGCTTCTTCCTGTGCTGAACTCTCCCTCTCGGTCTACGGCCTGAGTCGGCTAGAGCCACCTTTTCTGGTTTTGGATTCTTTCCATTCGGGCTTCTCCATGTTATTGAAGTCCCGCGTTCGCACAGGTCCGTTCTTGCCGGTCTACGGCCTGAGTCGGTCAGACTCACTCCTGCTTTTCCTGGACTGCTCCTATCTAGGGCCCTTATCGTCCTTACAGTCGCTTATGCGTACTGGACCAGCTTTGTCCACGTTCGGCTTGCTCCGACTCGGTTTCTTCATGTTTGTCTCAGACCATATATGTTCAGACCTATCGATGTCCCTGCGCAGTCTTGCTCACTTGGACTTTTCGTCTTTGGTCTATGGCATCAGTTGTCTTGGCTCTTCCCTGCTTTCGCCGGATTTCACACACTTAGGCCTTTTGATGCTTTTGCGATCGCCCGTTTGATTGGGTCTGCTCACGCCGGTGTTTGGCATGTCAAGGCTCGAATTATCTCTTTCCATCTTGGACTACTTGAGTTTGGGCTTGAGCTTATTGCCACGCACTTTTTTGTGAACCGAATTATCCACGTCCACTTTTGGCTTCAGCCGACTGGAGCCATCTTCATCTCCCCTTGACCTCGCGGAGATGGATTCGATGCTGCCTGCCAGGTCACTTTGTCAGCTGGACTTCTTGATGTTGGTCTATGGAATGATGTGTTTGGACAGCACCTCGTTGATCTTAGACCACACCGACCTCGGTTCCTTCACACCACTTCACAGCTTTGCATGCTTGGAGCTGGCTTTGCTGGTCTATGGCCTTTCCACAGTGGGAAGTTTGCTGTTGCTCTTGGACTTGATTCATCTCGATCCACTGCTCTTCTTACGATCTTTTGCTTGTCTTGGATCAAGCCTTTCAACCTTCGGCATGGTTCACTCAGACTCCTTCTCATCGGTGTGTGACTTTGCCTCCATGGAGTCCAGCCTGTTGACTCACAGCTTAGCACAGCTGGACTTCTCTCCGTCGGCCTACGGCCTCACCTGCTTGGGCCTCCTGCTGTTCTCAACAGACCTCATCGGCATGGAGTTCTTCTCGTTCCTCCACAGCCTTGCGCACTTGGAGAGTCCACCCTTGGCGTTTGGAGTGAGCTGCCCAGACACCTCGTTGCCTTTGCTGGACCTGGCGCACTTGGAGCTTTTGACGTCCTCGTACCGCGCTCAGGGGGTGAAGGGCGCGGCAGGGTTCGGTGAAGGCGAAGAGGAGGTCCATCTGGGAGATTGAGCTCCCCCAGATGTCCATCCTGGATCCGAAAGAGACGTTAACCGGACGCGAGTCCTCGTTCGGTGGAGGGGGAAGTGGGGCTTGAACCGATTAATCCCGTTTTGCGGGAGCATGGATCATGGGCTGGATCATATGCGGAGGGAACATTCCTAGATCTTCCAACATATGCAAAAAGTATCCCTTTTGGTGTACAAAACCAGCCAAGGTTGGCATAAATGTTGCATAGTTGGAAGATCTAGGTTGAGGTTCGGTTCATGGTTCGGGTGACAGTCTGACCATCCGACGGGGAACTGGCTAGGTGACCCCAGCACGCCAGCACGCCATGAACTCACTCCTTCGGCCGGTCGGCCCGAACTCCGTCGGCCGGACGGGGACGGACGAGGACGGATGGACCCGAAACACCTCAAGCGCCCGGAGTCTGACCCCGGACACGACGAATGGGACTGGCGGATGTACCTGGACCATCCTGTCTGGATGTCCTGGACAGGGAGATCCCGGAGAGCAGTGCAGGGTAGTCCAGCCAGCCAGACAGGATGGTCCTGGTATCACGCGTAAGAATCGGGCCCGAACCAATCACCATATAGGGTTTGCTTCAGGTCCAGACCACTACAAGACACATGGAACTGGTTTAAAACCGCCCCTTCTTTTTCGTAGTAGAGGAGCTTACCAGCAGTTCCATGTCGGAATGGTTTGCCTCGTCCCATCCAGTGAGGTTGGGGCATCCTCGGTTCGGAACCGGCACCCCTCCCCTAGCCTTCAAAGACCATTAAAAGTACGGTTGAGCTGGTGGTGTAGTGTAAAAATCCTTAGTAAAACAATGGTTCTTTGGTAAAGACCATTAAAACAATGGTTTTTTGAATCCTAGGGCTTGTGTCTTCTGAATCGTCCTTTTCCACTTCGAGTGTGCAAGGGATTTCGCTCCCTGGATCTCTACGCATGTGCCTCGTCGTCCGTGAACACGGATGAACACGGTGTGGCGTGCGTTCCGTTTCGGCTGCGCCGCCGTTGGATCTTGCGCGTGCCGTTCTGCAGAATCGTGGGCTCTGCCATCTGGACATTCACATGGACATTCCATCCATTGCTGATCTTGGGGTCCACCTGCAAGGGTCCCGAACGACAACGCGAAGAATGTCCACCTCCAAACCGCCACCGGTGCTTGAACCCCCCCAAAAAGAAAGCACCCATCAGCAGACGCGCAGTGAAGAGGGAAGTCGAGAGTGCGCTGGTGTCCTTTAGCTTCCGCCGGCCGAAGCTTCCGCCGCCGAAGCTTCCGCCGCCGCTGCCGAGCCGCCGTCATGCCACCGCACATGGTTCACGCTGAAGAGGACAGGTTCCCGCTCCACGAAGGGCGGAGCACCGTGGTCGCCCTGGGCGACGCGTGAGGTGAGGAATGGGAAACATACCTTGAGTCTCCAATGACCCTTTTAAATTCGACTTTCCAAGAAAAAGAGCTCACTTTTTCTTTTGCATACCTGGAACTTCGTTACGGCAATAATAATTGCCGTTTTCATGAAACGTCGCCTTTTTCCGTTCTGCGGCGTTCTTCCATATTGATCTCATAGGGACGACGTTTCTTGATGAACTGCGGCAGTTTCGGTCAGTTGACGGCAATTTTGGTCCACACATCCATGCGCCTCAAAGAGTCATTTCGTTTTAGTTTTAGTGCAGGCGAGTATGAAAACATTGTAGGGTCTTGCTTGAAAGGCAACTGAACGTAAAAGGCGTCTTATTTTATCAGCAAACTCGCATAGTCCTGTGAAGTGGAAAGGGCAGCTGATGGAAGTGTCACATGCTGGGTTTTCGTCGGTTTTCGCGGGTAACTCGACCTCTTGTGCGGCGTTGCAGAAGATTTTGCATTTAAAGTTACGGCGTTCTTACCCGTACTTGCGGCGTTTTTCCCCGTACTTACGGCGTTTTTCCCCGTACTTACGGCGTTTTCCCCCTACTTACGGCGTCGTTCCCTTACCCTGTCTAGGGTCACTCAAGGTGGCAGCAAGACTTGTCACAACATGTCACAAGCGATCCTTTCAGCCATTGCATGATCAACATGTGAACAAATCCTGCCGTGATGTCAATCGAGACCTTAGACAAGGGCTGCAACATCTTGAGAAGTGCTACCATGAGGCTTGAAAACGATGAGCTCTACTTACAAATGAAAAAGGAGAAGGCAATTTCAGGGTATGGACGGACCAAAACAATATCCTCTTTGGTAGATCAAACAAAACGGCGATTCTTCTTTTGTGACGGCGTTTTCACTTCTCTGACGGCGTTTTCACTTTCCAGGGATTGAGCTACGGCAGAAAAAATGAGTTACGGCAAAAAATTATTGCCTCAACAGCCTACGGCAAAAACTATTGCCTCGGGAGGGTCTAGGTATTTCACGAAATGTTCATTTGTTTGTTTGTGCCCTGTCAGATCCTCCTTAGACAGTGTCGTGAGACCTTGTTTCGGCGTCCCAAAGGCGTCCAAGACGCATCTTTTTGCATCCAAAAGGCGTGTTTAAGCGTCCGCACCGGATGCGTCCGGATGAAGATTCAATTGTTACCCCTTTTTTTGAGTCCTAACTCCTCTCTGAAAATGCGTTTTTTGTCGAGCAAAAACACAAATATTAGACCAAAAACAAAAAGCATAACAAAAATCAAAAAGATAAAACCGGTCTTTGGAGACTCAAGGTAGTCAAAAGTATTACTAGTCAAAGACCTCATTTGACTGGAGTTGATCATACAAAAACCAGCAGAAACACGACGATTAAATGAGGTAAAACATCAGGAGTTACATGGAGTTACTCGATCTTCACTTCACCACTTGGTGAGGTCTAAAAAGACTAACAGTGGTGTCAGAATAGATTGCACCATTAGATTGCACCATTTCCCAAGGTGGTTCTATAGACCCCCATCTTGAGGACATGGTGCCATCGAACCTTTGAAACCCGGATCCGACCGGCTCGACACTTCGGATGCCATGAGGATGTCATGAAATCTATCCCTGGACCCGACTTCAAGTACCTTAGAAAGTTGGACATGACCCTATAAAGACAGGACTTGTACCCATTTTCCGAGGTACGCACTGAGACTCCAGGTCAATCCCCAGCCTGAAGAGTTGAATCATGGAGTCTACATTGCAACCTGGAACCCCAGTCCCAACCAGAAACAGCTCTGGTTGTTCCAATATGGCTTGCTTGAAAGCCTTTACATAGGAAATGGTTGGGACTGGGGAAACATCCATTTCTTTCTGGTTGGGACTGGGGGATTCCAGGAAGGTGTCTCCTTTTGGGAGGGGGTACTTCACTTTTTATCCCTACGTGTCTTACTAAGGGGGTGTCGTGCTTTGGGGGATGACCTTTTCGACCTTCGGCCGCTTTGACAAAGGGAGCGAGACACATCTCTCCGTTGGTCGGGAGAAAATCGTCGTGCGCGTGGGACCTCGCGGGCCGCGTCGTCGTCGAATCTCTCCGGCGCCGGAGAGGTTTGGATGTGTTTCCCTAAGACGACGCATGCCCTGGGAGTCAAAGACTATAAAAAGAATGGTCTTTAGGGGACCTGAAAGGGAACTTCCTTTACTTCAGCCGGTCAAAATATAGTCTTTGGACTTCTAGGGCATGGGAGGGGCTCTCCAGCAAGGTCGGACCACGAATTATTTGAGTGACGTGGTACCACATTCCCTGGCCCCATAGGGATCTAGTCGTAGCTCAGAATGATTGGAGACTCTGCTATGGAGTTTTGAAGGGTCCAGTCGTACCGAACCTGAGAAGGCACTTCGATCCCTATAGGGATAGAGGACAAAGATGGTCTTATTGAGCAATCTCTAGAAGTCCAGTTCGACTATATTTTGACTGACTGAAGTAAAGCCTTGACTCGTGTCACCTAAAGACTATTCTTTTTATAGTCTTTGACTCCCAGGGCAATGGGGGCATGCCATCCACGTCCAATGATGATTTTTGAGCTGCCCAAATTATGAGCTTCTCCATCGGACCTTGACCCAAACCCAGGGGTGACCTTCTCACCAAACCCGTGTTGCAGAAGGTGCCCAGATTCTTGGGCTCCAATGTTCACCCACATCGGAGTCTTTCTATCCTCTGAGCCCAAGCAGGCTTTGTGGCGAAGGTCACAGCCTGCCAAATCAAGATGGCACCGGCGCTGGTATTTTTTCGCAGCACACATCCACCAATGGGCACAGGCCGCGCTCGGCCGAAATGCACGGATGGAGCTTGGCCAAGCGTTTCCAGGGGGTCGGATACCACGCCGGAATCGCTCGCGTGGTCCGAATTCAAACGGTGCACATGTTGTTTCGACCATCCACCACTGCTTGGGTCGGTCGGGTCTCTCCGCACTCCGACGCCCCCGGTCCCACGGGTCGACGAGGGACCGGCGAGACCGGGCAGCGTGCGCGAGGAGAACTCCAGCCAGGAGGAATTACTGCCTTCTCCCCAGCAGAACAGGCGAGATGGAGAATGGCCGACGGCTCGCACGTCGTACCGGTGAAGGGGTTTCGGGATTTCGTGGCGTTCTCGGAGAGAAAAGGACCGACGTGGCGCCTTCGAAAGGATGAAATGGATTGGATGGATCCACAAGAACTCCTCATAGTGTTCGAACGTCTTCTGGTCTCGCGTAGGCAGCTGAAAACGTAGGCAGCGCGGCAGCGCTACGTAGGCCGCTCTACAGTGGCGGGTGATTGGAAGGACGGGACGTCTATATGTCTACACCCGAACTTCATGGTGCTGGTATAGAGATGTCGGTGACCGTCGGTGTGGCCAAAAACTAAATCCCCAAAAAGGCCTCCAGTCGTACCGTACCTTCTAGGAGGTGGGACTGGGGTGGGTGCCAGGAGGGTCTAAACACCTTCTGAGGAGGTACTTGGAGGTGTAGGGTATCCATTTCCAACCACCATTGATCAGGACCCCAAGAGGTGTCTAATGGACTATAGCCTCTGATTCGAGGTGTCCAAAAACCACCCAGTTTGGAAGGTCATGGGATTTCATGTCTTTGACCGAAACGACCAATCCCAGACGCTCCTGTTTTTTTGCAAACAATATTATGTTGATTTATTTTGCACTATTGTTTTGCCTTGTTTGCCAGGTAGAACATGGTAGAACGCCCATGAAATATATCATATGACTCGAGTCATATGAATATGTCTATTCTAACATGTTCTAAATTATATGTGTGAGTGTATGTCTTCCCACAAATCCGGGTCGTTTCCAAACCCACCGACATATGCAACATATTTGCCTTTTCCTCTATCAAAAAGCAACCAGACATGTTGCATAGTTGGAAGATCGGCGCATACCGGAATATAATACCACTGCACTCTACTTGTCACGGGTTTAATATAAATGGGTCACCTTCCAAACGAAAAAACACATGCTCGACTGCCGCCTCCCCTTTCTTGAGATCCACGCTCTTTTCGCACGAAAAACCGCAGCCGACCTTTCGGTCTTCCACTTCCACCGAGCTTCCCGCGTCGCTCTCCGACCGGGCAGGGCGGAGAGCTCCGCTCACCGCTCCGCTCGGCTCGTTTCCAGGTCTTTCGTCGGGTGGTCGATGTGGCAAGTGGCGGGCATGATCGCCCTCTCCACGTGCCTCTTGGGCGCCGTCGCAGTGCTGCGCCCAGGCGAGGACCCGAGAGAGCGATTCCGCCGGGTTCGACCGCCTTCGGAGGGAGGTTAGGCCCCTGAAAAAAGGGAGCATTTGGGGTATGTATGGGATGGTCTCTAGACTCTAGAGTCTGGCTTCTTCAACCTCTGTTGGAGGGTTTTGAGACTTAGATCTTATGATCTTCCAGCAATTGCCCAGCTTGGCCGGCCCAAAACGCATCACCCAGGTGCCATGTGTGGCGCCTGTCGACCAGGTCGACGGTTTCATGGTGTTGACAAGGCCGCGACTCATCCGTCGAAGCCCCGCACGCCCTCGCGCGGCCTCCTCTGCCGCACGGTGGATGCCGCGCACGAGGCGATGCCGCGGCTCCTTCCACACGGCCTCACACGCGTGGATACCAACGCCTTTGGGGATCCAGGGTGCGCCCGGGTGGGCGACGAGAACGTCGGAAGGGTCGGCTTGGACCGGAAACCGTGCCGAAACGAAGGAAGGCGAAACGAGCGTCGTTTCAGGTTCCATCATGTTCCTGATAGCAGTGGGTGTGGGCGATATACCTGCGAAAGCAACAGCTGGTGTTTTTTTTTTAAACACTTGATGCGCCTGTCTTCGGCTGGCGGCATGGAGACCTCCATGATTGTTTGCCTTTGACCTTGGAGAAAAACCTCCATGTCAGATCTAAAGCCATATTGTCAAAGCAGGAAATGATCGTTCTGATCCAGGTCCATGTTATTATGTATGCTTATGTATGCTTACGTTCCTGCAATTGCAAAACAAACTGAACTTCCACTTAATCCAATCCCATGCAGTACTTGTTCGTTGTTGTTTTTTTAATATTTGTTCTCTGCTTGCTTGTCTTGCTTCTTCTTGGTTTGTCTTTTGCTCTTGTTCCTTGTTTTTTTTTGTGTCTTCTTCTGTCTGCTTCTTTCTTCTGTTTTTGTTTGCTTAACTAGCTTCTTCTTGGTTTGTCTTCTTGTTTTTGTTCATTTATGGTCTTTGCTAATTTATGTTCTTTGCTAATTTTCTTATCTGTTCTTTCTTTTTTCTTTCCACTGTTTAATTGTGTTTTTTCTGCTTGCTTGCCTTTGTTCCCTTCTGCCTTCTTATTATTCTTAATTTGTTTGTGTTTGAAACTGTTTGTCCCTTTTATTGTTTAGCTCCTTTTCCCTGCTTGTGTTCATGTCTGCTGCTTCTTCCTTGCCCCTCCTTCTTTTGTTTTTTTCTTGATTATTTTCATGTGTTGTTTGTTTTTTCGTAAAAATTATTGGGGTGCAAAAAAGTTCAATGGCAGCACACCTTTAAAAAATTAGCTTTTTACACCCCCAACAAAAAGTTAAACGAACATCATCCAAGCGCAGTCCTCGTGCTGGGATGTGCTAGTGATTTTAATATGTGTTAAGGATATGTGACCCAGAACTGCCCAGAACTTTCATTTCGACTCATGAATGAACCCACCTGCTGAGAACATCATCCACCTCCACGTCGCATGACGTCGTGCGTGGTGCATCGTTCGGACTCAACGGATGTCCGGTGAGCGAACCCAGTCCCTAGGCTTCCTGGCCCAGGCGGGTCATAGGCGGGTCATCCCGAATCAACGACAAGGATTTTCCACGACAAAAAACCAGGTTGTTCCCATTTCGGTCCGACACCCCGAAAGCCTTATCCTCCGTTCGGAACTGCTGGCCAGCTTAGCATACGACTCGGAGTAGGAGACTTCCTGCTGCAGGATCTGCAGGGTGAAACTGCTTCCAGCGTCTCGGTCTTGCTCAGTCGAACAGCTCGGTCTGAACAGCTGTTTCGAGTGACGACGAGCGTTTCCTGGGAGCAGTGGCAATTTTGGTCCTTCCATGCTTGGACATGGCACAGTTTGGTCCTAATAGAAACACCGGAGGATATATAACAGTATATACTGCTCAAAAAAGACATGTTGAAATAATAAGGAGATCCCTGTTCGAATTTCAATACCTCGATCAGATAGGCAGTTTTTCGATTGAGGCATGTGCTCAGGCTGCTCACCCCCCACGGCCTCAAAGCTTGGAGAGGCCTCCTGCCGCGTGATGGGGTGCAACAATGACAACTTTGTCGGCACCTGTCAATGTGCCTTGGAAGAAAAGAATGGAAAACACTCACATGGAAGTGGGCCACAATTTCTTTGAAGACGAGACTATTATACTATAAATCATGGAGTCAGTACGGCCCTGCCCATGAGATCATTGACATGTGGGTGTGTGTCAAAAGTATGTTGAAAACGTCGGTACTGTAGACTGTTGATGACTAAGACCCTGCATATGAAGAGGTAGAGGATTCTCTTCATTTTCCAGTGGCTTAAGCAGGGAGGGTGTCGGGCGCAGAACTCTCTGCGTCATCTCATCCTGGCTTCTCCGGCTTCTTCACGAGGTCCAGCATCCAGTTGGGATGTTTCGATACACCAAATCACTCCATGTAGGGAATCATATGGATGTGTAATAGACTAGGGAAAGCCCTGGCTGGGTAGCCTGGTCAATTTTCCTGCTTCGCTGTTTGAGCTACACTCCCAATATATTATAAGAACTGCAGTCATGTCATGACTCATCTTGTCATTCTTTCAAGCAATGCATGGCCTGAAGAACGCCATATACTCGAGGTCCACCAGGATGAACTACGTAGACACGATCGCCATCTGGGACTGCCATAGATGGCTATATGTATTCCCTTGGCACCACCACCCAGACGGTGCGGCCGCACCACTCGGCCGCACCTGCCAGTCCCGGTGTCGACGTGTCCCATGGGACCGGGGTGGCTGGGCCTGGCGGGCCCCCCCGTCGTCTGAAGCGAAACGAAGGTACGACTGGAGGCCTAGGGGGGGTGATGTTTAGATGATTTAACCCTAGACTTCCGTTCGACCATTAAAAACATGGTTGACCTGGTTTTTGTAGTCTAAAAGCCTTAGTTGATTCGGTAACGCCTATTAAATTAATGGTGGTTGGAAGCGTAGGGTTAAGGGTCCATAGTATAGGTCCCTGGACCTTCCTGTCGGGGTGTCCTGGACGATCTCTCAGTCGTGGGCTGGGGCGAAACCAGCCAGGTGACCCCGTTCACGGAAGGTGCTGGTCAATATTCCATACAAGGAGCGTGTGGGGTGCATAGATGACTACATACCAGTGACTGTAGCCGGTGCATCACAGCTTATCCACTATATGCTCCATGCATGGTGCATCACTTGAACCAAAGGCAGCTCAGTGCCCCTCCGACCCTCAAGTGGAGGCAACGATGGGTGCAAGTACTTCGGAGACTGCTGCATGGACTATGAGGACCAATGTGGGAGCGGCAACGCGGGCAGTGACTCCGCTCCTTGGTGTTCCAAATACGACTCGGACCGACTCGGGGCGGGTCCGACCCCTCGGTCCGACGGCCTCGGTGCACCCACCACAGCACCAGTGTGCTGCTGCAGCGCCCACCAGGTCCAGGGGATGAAGGTACGGGCCCTACTGAACGGAGGGTCCAGGGTCGGGTAAGGTCCTGTGTCGCGAGTTCCGTGGAGGATCCGGGTAGGGTTTGCCCTATTACCTGCAACAGTCAGTAATTAACTATTTATTGCTATGTTTGAAGGCCTTTGCTAACTAACCACCATCATCCACTGTTACAGGTGACAGACCCAAGATCCCATTATTAAAGAAAGACACCCGAGGTGTGCACGTCGCGTTCAATCTTCCGCCATGAAGAAAGGGGGAAAGGATTGAACGCTGAGCGTCCGAACGCTCCGTTCGTAGAAATGCCTTTTCCAGACTAATGGGACTGCCATATATGCCTACATTGGGGTGGTTTGGGGGGTCAATGTAGGCATATATGGCAGTCCCATGGAGTGTCTGGGTTTGTTACTACGTAGTAGCTTCTTGCTCCTAGTAGTAAGGCCAGGAGCTACGTTCGTAGCGTCCTTGCTCCGTTCGAGTCGCGATGCCCTAGTAACTTTCTAGACTTTTGGATGGGATAGCCAGACTTGCGAAGGGGAGCAGATCTGTAACACTCACCAAACGTCCAGATTGGTTGGGGGGTCTTGACGTTTCAATGTGTTGTTACTGCTATCCCAGATGTACCTCAGCTGCTCCAGAACAACGGCATGGAACGTTCACCCTGTTCGAGGATGTCGCGAGAAAGGATTGTTTCTCGCCGTGCCGCGGGCTGCGCCTTTGGTTCGACCATTTCTAGTCCAAAATTCTCAGGAAAACCATGGTTCTTCGCTATACAGATCCTGAAAGAAAAAGACTGGGGACACCTCGTGTGTCTGGCCCCGGATAACGCCACTGACACAGTGGCACAGCTCCACTGAGAGTCCGTAGCTCTTTCATGTTTCATTGATTCCACTGAGGGCCCGCAGGGGATGCAGGGCTCCTGCCGGGAATTCGGCTGTGGCTCCAACAGTCGTGGTTGCGAGGGCGTGGCCAACTGCAACCTTTGCCCCTCGAAGAAGATGTCGCGCACGGGGCGGTTGGGGATTGTGATGTTCGATATGGGTGCATCCCCGTTTAAGAATATAGGCCTGGTTCTTCAAAGTGACCTTTTGATAACCTGGTTTGAGGTCACTTAAGCCTGCTAAGGGTCACTTAAGAACCTTCAAAAGGTCACTTTGAAGAAGCTGGGGGTTTTCAGTGTCAGTGACTGTTAGTGTTGGTTGGTTACGGCTGGGGTCCATGTTCTACTCCATGTTGATGAGTCGGAAAAAACAAATACATTAAGAACAAGAACCGAAGACGTATGGAAGGGTCCGTTTTTTCGGGGGGGCATAGTTTCTGCATCGGCCCATTTTTCACTCAACCCGCTGGATGCTTTCGATTGGTGGTGGATCGAGAGCCCCACAAGAAGATCAGTTCCCCCTCCCAACGTTCCGTTCGGTCGGGTGATGCCGGTGGTGCGTTCGTCCCAGACACAACCGCCATCGGTTCCGGGGTGGTTGACTGGGGGTGTCTTGATCGGCCGGTCCCGGGGGTGTTTGGTGCCAGATGGCGGTCGTGTCTGGGGTGTTTGGTCCCAGAACTTCCGTTCTTTTCCTCATGAACTACGGATTGAGAGGACGAAGATGGCACCAGCTACCCCCAAGTTCGGGTGGCTTCCATGGACCCAGTTCTTTGTCTAAGACATCAGAGTATAGGTGCTAGTCGCGTCATCTACTCTGCAAAAGAAGGGAAATTTTGAAACATGAGCCTCGACAACAGGACTTCATAAATCTCGCGAATCGGATTTTCCTAGGAGTTTTAATCTTTTCTAGGCTCCCACGCCCACGTCAGCCCTGAGTACACACGGGTATCTAAAAGGCATAGACTTTGCATAGTTGGAAGATCTAGCTGTGGCATACATGGAGTGTCTGGGATTGTACCAAGCGCTAGGAGGCCGGGAAAATGGAACCGAGGATGTTTTATGTCGGTCCGCTTGGAAAACCCCAAGACTTCCAGAATTTCCACCTCGCGCCTCCGTGTCGAGGCGACTGCTCCGACTCTTGCAACGACAACGGCAACTGCTGTTCGGATTACAAGGCCATTTGCGGCGGAGGCCCGCCGCGCGCGCGAGCTGTCCAGATCGGTGGTGGCTCGGTGGTCCTCGGTGGTCCTCGGTGGTCCAGACGGGCTGAGCGACCATGGGCGTTTAGATCGGTGTGGTCCTGGGTGGGTTCAAGGTTCCAGCACCATGCAGGAAGGCCCGGAGGCGTCCCCCATCCCCAAGAAATCCCTCAACAAGAACGGGCGAAGACTGATGGATTCAGTGGGAGGGTCTGAATGTTTGTCATATAGGGTCCAGGAGCGCTTTGGGTATACTTCGGCCTTGGGATGCATGGGTGCACTTGGCCTCAAGGCTTTCTATATGAATCTTAGATGAATTTCTGACGGATGCTTTGGCTCCAAGATCCCCTTGAGACATGTGGGGTAGGCACAAGAGGTCTCGCACCAAATCCACACGAAATTGAGATACACAGCTTGGTCTTTCGTGCCATCTTCTTCAAAGATACTGAACGTTTGGAGTCCCTGACCGCGACCCATGACCAGCGTAAACCAGGGCATGATGGTTTGTGAACGGATCCAAGCCGGTCACAACGTTCGGTCACGAACCAGGTTAGGCGTGCTCATCACGACCGGAAGCACAAGAACCGCACAGCACAGCTCGTTTCTGTACATGTGGCAGCCTTGCATCTTTTGTGTCGCGGGGAGGAAGACCTGACAGTGGTCAAATGATTGCATTTAGTTTGAACACCATAATCCATGGAATAGAACTTGGGTTTCCCCTAGGCTACAAGTACCTCCTCAGAAGGTATTTGGACAGCCTTGGTACCCACCCCAGTCCCACCTTCTCAGAAGGTACCACTGGAGGCCTAGGAGATGACACATTGCTTCTATGTTCGGTCTTCTCCAGAGGATGACTATACAAAGTGTTCTTGTTTGCCACTGGCTGCCACTGGCTGCCATGAGGAATCACGGTCCGACGGCAGGTGCTTGGGACATGGCGGGCGCCGGTGATGGCTACGATGGCGATGGGGACAGCTATGGCGATGGAGACGTCACTCGGCCGGCACGGACCGTCGACTCGCGGGTGGTCGTTTTCGTCGACGCGCGGATCGGGCGGTACGGGCGGACGGTCAGACGGTGTGAGGCACGAGCAGATCAAATGGAGATTGAAATGGGAGCCCAGTGGATCCCAGGCAAACCACTAATAGTATGGAACCAGGGATTCGTTCGGTCTATGGTTTGAGTCGAACTGGAACCACTGGTTACCAGCTATAGTGGTAACTGGATCCGCTGGGGGAGGGGTAAAGATGTGTCACTGTGTCATGCCTTCAATGGTCACCTAAAATGCTTGAGCATTGCTTGAGCCAAGGTTCCTTGAAAGGGTATAACTGGTGTCCTAGCCTTCAAAGACCATTAAAATGGTAAGAAAGGTTGGTTGGCCTCCTTTAGTAAGTATCTTCTCAAAACAATTGGTCGTTTCGGTTTTGGACACCCCGAATCAAAGGCTAGTCCATTAGACACCTCTTGGGGTCCTGATCGATGGTTGTTGGAATTCCAGGGGGATGGATATCACATCATTCATCCCCCAGACACGACCAGTCTGGGACTGCCAGGACGGACTGCCGCCCCAGACAGACCCCCCTGACACCACTCCTGGCCGTTTTGAAGGCAGTCCGGACCAGTCCCAGACTGGTCGCGTCTGGGGTACCAATTGAGGTACAAAAGTGAAGAAAAACGAAGACGGTTTTGGCACTCTGTGCCCGACTCGTTTCCTCCAGGGACCAGTGGTTTGGATTGGTGAGACTCCAAAGAACCACGAAACAAGCAACGCATCCCCAACTCGCCTTCAGTTCGACCATTAAAAGAATGGTTGATCTTTGTAGTCTGCAATTTCGGTCAAAACTAGGGGTTCTTTGGGATGCAGACCATTCAAACTGAAGACACACCCGTTGCTTGAATCCCTTTTGAGGCTCCTCAGTCCGTCCAAACGGCCGAAACAAACACCCCACCCTGTTTCCGAGAAACGTCCGATTCCCGAGGGTCAATATGGCAATGCCGACAAGGAGAGGGGGGAGGCTCCGGACGCGAGGTTCGCCCCGTCTTCTGTGGTGTGGTAGCGTGTTGTGTAGGCCCATAATAACCAGCAGAGGTTTTGAACGAACTCGACTATCCGAACTAGGTGTTTCAGGCTTTCCAGGTCCTAGTTCAGGTCATTGGCTGCCTCTGTTGGAGAAAAAAGGATCAAAAAGGACACGCTGACCAGACCATCCAGGTGGCAGGATCCCGGTGGCCGAAGGATCAAGCAGTGTCAGGTGGCCTTCGTCCGCTGCCGGATCCTTTTGATCTCTTTCGATCTGTTCCGGAAAGAGGTCAGCAACGGTTTCTGAGGGAGAAAGCACTGCAGCTGATAAAAAAATAAGACAAGAAGCATATACTTTGAGTGAGCAGATAGAGGGTCAGATGAGGTACTGGGTCAGAGCTGGACTTGTAGGGTTTTCAATCGACAACTCCTGTTTTGACCTCCAGATCCAGATCCACTGGACTGCGAAAGAAAAAACACTGAGCTTCTGCGTGACGTGGTCGAAAGGACGCTTGGAGCTGGATCCAGAATTTCGATCCTCTATACCCAGACGCTCACAGCCCTCACCACCCTACTGTCCCTCAAAACCGGGATGGGTACCAAAGCTCCCCCCCCCCATCGCTACCTACGAGTCACCAGGCCCCGTGCATCGCCACCACGCACGATTCCGGACGTCCGGATGGCAAGTCATGACAGTCACAGGGTGGGACCCACACAGCACGCGCTTTTCGCGCGGAAGAAGGGAGTTCTTTCAGGTTTTGCATTGGGTCCGAAGAAGATCAACCACGAAGATCTTCATTCTTCATATCCCACACACGACCAGTCTGGGACTGCCAGGACGGACTGCCGCCCCAGAAAGACCCCCCTGGCACCACTCCAACTGATCGGCAGTCCTATGGCAGTCCCATGTGTCGTGTCTGGGTATTATGGTCTTCATCTATCCAGATACGATGTAATAGCTATATAATATATATAGATCCACCCAGACGCTCCGTGAACGATGCCCGACCGGTCCCGAACCAAACCATAGGGGTGAAGTAGGGTCCGGACCCGTCCACATCAAAAATACGGCCCCTACTGAAAGCAGGGTCCATGAGCAGCTATGATCCACGTGCAAACTTTGGATGTAGATGTAGGATTGAACAAAACAGGAAGGAGGTCCCAAGCATCCATGGTCCATGGGAGAAGAGAAACACCCTTGAGAGCTTGAGAGTCCAGTCATGACTCATTTGATAATTGGCCCCTAGAAAAGCCAGGACCTTCCTTCACAGGTCACCACCGTCGCGACTTGAAAAGTCTACAAAAGCCTCCAGTTCGGAGACCTGTTGGAAGGTGCTGGTATAAATAAAAATAAATATATAAATTATTGCTATAGTGGTGCATAGTGACTTCCAGGTCGAGTAGATACCAAGTTCGTCGAGTTCCGGATGTGGTACCTAGATATGTGATGCATTTTTAATGAATGGGGTACCGGATACATGCATGTCACTTAGTAAATCTGTTCACATGGGAGTTCAGCAACCATTGGATTGAACCGTCTTTACATAAGAACCATGAAGGATTAGACCACCAAAACCAGCTCAGCTTCTGAAGCATTGGGTGACCAGGAGGGTTCCACCACCTCGGGGAGCCCACCACGTCGTCCCACGCTGCAGGAGGGTGATTTCGAATTTGGTCCCTGGGACGGTGCCGGTGATGGCCGTGGCAGCGGCGAGAAGGAGCGGGTGAGTCGACCGGGTGGCTCCCGGGCGGCGAGCGGCGACCTGGTGGTTCCGGTGGGAGGAGGATGGAGGGATCGGGCCCGCTTGGCCCGGGGTTGAGATGAGCCTGAATCCTGAAGCACCAATGCTTTCATCCTAGGATACTTTCGGATTTGACACACCTAAAACCAGATCAACCTATGTAACTACTACCAGCACCCTCCTGGCCAGGCTCTTAGTTGAGGGTTGTTGGACCCTAACAGGTCTCAATTGGTGACCTGTCGGAGGGTCCTGGTATACCTTTACTTCATGAACATGACCCTAATGTAAATACATCTTCCAGCCCTCTGGATGCAAAGGGGCTCCCGTAAAGAGACCCGCCACACCACTGTGGGAACAGTGGAGCCTGACCTCGGAGCTCGTGCAGGGTAGGCGATATGAAAAAGCCCAGCTAACAGAGTGGTGCTGAAGGGATCCTGTCGACAGGTTGAACAGCCTTATAGCCCATCCCATGTCGGGATTGAAAGATGTTCGTCACCCAGCATGTCAAGCAGATGAAAAACAAAAGGAAGAAAACCATCCGGGTGGTTTTGGAGTGTGTTTCCTGAAGGTCTACAGCATATCTACAGCCCAGATGGATGTGAAGAGTGCTGGGGAAAAGGGTTTTCTTGCCGAAAGCGAAGTCCGGTGACCCGCGGAGTCAAGAACTTCCTGAACAGGAACGTGTGGGGCAAGTTTGATCGGAGGAGAACCTGGACCTCCAGGGTATGTGAGGTCCGACCCCCCCCTACAGGTCAGTTGCACCTCATCTGAGCACACACTTAGGGGATAGGCTTCGGACGAGACAACCACCGCTCCAGTCGACCTGGTGTTGGTTTCGGCTTGGAGACCGTACCAGCTGGGTCCTGCTTTCTCCGCTCCAAACCGTGCCTGCTTTCTCCGTGCATGCTTTCCTCGCGCGGGGGGAGAGTCCGATCGAGACAGCTAGGCGTCGAACTCTGAGACCACGGAGAAAGCCACGACGACCCAGGCGGGACAGGACGATGAGAAGCCCGAGGAAGGTGGGTGGATCCGTTCACTCGCGAGGCGTTCGGGTCGCCCCGTTACTCGCGTCCGATCGTTCCCTTCGTAGTAAGGCCAGGAGCCCCTAGTAGTAGCGACCGATCGCTCCGTTCGTAGCGATGGTGGATGAGAAGAATACTGGAAAGATTCGAGATCCGCAATCCCTCCAGTGGTTCTTGATGTTCTTATCAGTGGTATTCAGGCGACCTCTTAACCCTGTGCAGGGAAATGGATTCCACAGAATCTGCAATGCGTGATGCGTGGTAAAATAAAGTGTGCCAAGGGAAATCGTGTTTCAAGACATAGCCCTCCTGTGTCTGCCCCTTGCCACGTTCAAAAGCTACATGGCTATGGGTCAGTACTACGCAGTACCCCACCAAACCATGGTAGGTTGGCATCCCTTATGGAGGAGTCTGTTCATGTTATAAGGTCATTTTTTGCGGACTGAAGAGACCCCTTCCCATGAGGTGTTTGACTTGGGGTACCCGCAGGAACTTTTGAAAGTGGGATGAAGATCCTTTATCACTCTTCAACAATCGTTATTTGAATGGTCTGAATCCCAAAGATTCATTGTTTTACCAAGGATTCTACATACACAATAACTTGGTCAACCAAACTCTTCGAGTGAATTTTCGAACTGAAGGCGAACGGGATGCCCCTTTGTCCTGGGAAGTTGTGATCCATCTACGTACAAGTACCTTGAGAGGGTGTTCCATTCGAATCTTGCATTTGGCGCCGACAGGAGGGAGCTTCCCACCACGACGCTTCTCACGAGTACGGCAATCATTATGGAGACGTTGGTGACTCCGCCGGCAACTATGGCGATGCCGCGGACCAGGCCGGCGGCGAGGCCGGCGGGGAGGCCGGCGGGGAGGCCGGCGGGGAGGCCGGCAGCGAGGCCAACGGCGAGGCCAGCGGCGAGGCGGCTGGAGGAGATGCTGCTGGAGATGCTGGTGCGGGCGATGCTGGCGACGCCGGCGATGCGGGCGACGCCGGTGCTGCCGGCGACACCGGTGCTGCGGGGGATGCCGGCGATGCGGGCGATGGAGGCGCAGAGAAGACGGAGACGGAAGCACCAGAGCCGCAGTTGCCGGCTGCAGCACAGAAGGAGTCGTACGAGGCGGGTCACAGCATGATGTGACTTCTTCTCGCCAAGCAACAATGGACCAGGGACGTATGTAATTACCGGGACCTTCCCAGTGACCTTTTCAGGATTGGCAAGTGACCTTTGAAAGACCTAAGTGATCTCATACATTACATTCTGAGGTCACTGGGAAGGTCCTGGTAGATGTCTATTTTGCGGGTGGGTGTACTTGAACCAAGTGAACGATAGTGAGCTTGTCGCAGCGTACTAAAGTATACGTATACTTCGTTCCATCTTTCTTCGGATGCCAAACTGATGGAAGTGCTCGAATTAGATACAGGGATGCGCGGGAGTCAATCCCCCCGGTCCCACTCCATGGGACTGGGACACCAAATCAATTGACCCCTCTGTCCGCCGTGACTCTCTCGTGGACACACCCCAGTAGCCCCCTTCCACTGGGGGTGGTGTTCCAAACACACCACGGTCAGTGGTTCGGGTCCCAGGGCCCACACTCATGGGCCCCAGGTGAACCTCTCACAGTGTGAACCTCTCTATAGGGATCAAAAGGACCAGAAAGAGAGTACTTTCTGGAGTCCTTTGATGTCCTTTTTCTTGTTCCATCTATAAATAACCTTAGTAAACCTCTGGGAAGGTCCTGGAACTTGAGATCTGTAGTGAAACCGCGGGGATTTCCCCGCGCTCGACTCGTGACGTTCGGGTGACCACGCGCTGGGTGACGTTCGGGCGGGTGGCACTCGACACTTTTTGGACACCTCGGACCCACAGGGTAGCTCCTGGCATCGCTATTAGTAACAACCAGGGGCCCCACAAATCATCAAAAACCCGGTTTTCCCTATAGCAAAAAACATGTTTTTGTGTAAACCTTGGTTTTTCATGGTTTTGAGGGCCGCTGGAAGAAGCTACTAGTAACAAGGGGGCTCGTCGCTACGCGCGCTACGGGTTCGGAGCGAGCGAGCTCGGACGCGAAGCGAACGGGGCGACCCTGGCCTTACTACTAGTAACTTCAGAATCTACTATAGTAACAAGAAGCAATAGATGTTGTAGATCCTGATCGATAGAGTTCAGAATCTACTAGTAACTTCAGAATCTACTGTTGACCCTGGCGTACAGAAGATCGATAGAGTAGATCAATAGATGTGGTTTTATGGTCCAGCAGTCACAGCGATCGGGGTGCCGGTTCCAGAGGAAGGAGTGCAGGTGCCCCTGTCACGTCACATCCAGGGGCGGTTCTGGCTAAAAAACATGCGCAACACGGCAACACCATCCCTTTATGACTCCAAAAGGGTCTCCTGTTCGGGTCGTTGGTCCCCTTTTCCCCGTCCCTCGGTGGTCCACCGACGCCGGAATCGCCAGGAGTCCCAGGAGATGGTGAATTCCATCGGTGGCGACTCCTCGAAGCATGACGTCTTTGAGGCGAATCGCAAAGCCTGGCGCCTGGGCACTTCGAAAGGGTTTGTTGGCCGTGAACACCCCCGCTTGGTTCGATCGACCGCGTGCACCGTTCGTTCGACCGGCGCCCCCTTTGTTGTTGTTTCTTCCGGGGTGACCCAGAGACTTCAGGGTACACTCTGACTCACATGGGCGAAGTGGATGGATGTCCTAGGTGCTGGGAAGACCATGTTCCTCTATACAAACAGGCGGGTTTTCCACTTGAAAGAGTGAGTGAGTGTACCCTCCCTCCACACATGGAAGCTGACCAGAGGAATTGTAGTCTTCCAGTAGCCCAGGCTCCACTTCGAATGATGGTTTCACGGAGTGTTACCTTTTTTAATACCCAGACACTCCATCCCTGCGAACCCGGGAGATCAGTTTAACGAGTGCATATGTATAAGAACGACTTTCACTGCATGACTCTGCACGCCCGCTCTCTGATCACTTTTGGTACACTTCCTCCGATCATCGTCGCTTCCAGGCAGCCGACATGGTGGTTCACGGGTGTTTCACGGGTGTTTCACGAGTGTTTCACGCGTGAATCACGGGTGAATCACGGGTGAATCACGGTACACACCCAGGTTTTCTAGTCTCTAATCAAGTTTAACTAGTCTCTAAGCAAGTTTAACTAGTCTCTAGTCAGGGTCTGCTCACTGTGAATCACGGGTGAATCACGGGTGAATCACGGTATCGCCCATTAACGTTTTCTTGAACAATATTGGCTAGAAGTATATAAGTTTTTACTCCACAATCACTCTTGGTACTAATTTACAGGTGGTTAGAGGTGGTTAGAGACAAGTAAAGTACGATCTTTAAAAGTAAAGTACGTTCATGTGAATGAATTTGTTATGAGCAAGTTTAACGAGTACTTTGGTTCATAGGGCATGTATGCCATATATGCCTACATTGACCCCCAAAACCACCCCAACTGATCGGCATATATGGCAGTCCCATTAGTCGTGTTTGGGATATCCATTGATCCACCGTACCGAAGATGCGACGGGGCCCCAACATGAAGCAGTAGACACATCAAGAGAGTCTCCCTGCTCACCGTACCGGCTCGTCTGTGGATCTGTGGATTTCCTGGCCCGGTCTGAAGAGCATGGGAGAGCAATGGTTGTTTTGCTACTAAACATGTTTTACACGACAACACCAAGACTAACCCATTTAACAAGAGGGTCTTGGACTTCCAGGGTATACTTAAAGCGGTTACCTAGCTAGGATTCTAACAACAATTTAGTGTTTACCGAACCAATCATTGTTTTGTTAAGGAGTTCAGACTTCAGACTACAAAACCAGCTCAACAAGTTGTTCAATGGTCTTGGACAACCAGGGATAATATATATATTTGTCAACCATCTGCCAACCTTGGCAGCCGATCGACCATTAAAAGAAAGGTTGACCGATGTTGACCCATCCCATTGTACTGTAAAATCCTGAAGATTCCTTCGCTATTCAAACTGCCTGCGCACGTTGTGTCGTGCGCAGTGTGTCCGCCGTTGGCCCGCTCAAGACGCGTCTCCAAAACCCCCAGCGACGCGCGCAGGTCAGTAAAAAAGGCTTCAAGAAGTCGTAAAGGTGCAAACTTGTGCTCAAACCATAGATTCGCACAAGAACAAATGCTACTTCCAGGAAGGTTCAGGCTTGGTAAAACAATGGTTCGATCATGGGCTCCAGACCCTAAAAACTAAGGGTGGTTGGAGTTTGGAACTACGGATCCAGTTCTATTCGCCCGCAATCCAATCTCAGACAAGTCAGAACTTGCTATGACTCTCTGACTGGAGGATGTTCTTAGAACGACCCTCTCTGACTGGCGCCACTCTTGGAGGCCCCAAGGTCCCGAGAGTCCAGGTACGCTGCGCGAGCTGTTCGAGCTGTGAACTACCTGGTCTCACCAGGTCCAACGAGTCCGGTGCCAACCAGTCCAGCGCTGTCTCCCTGGAGTCCCCCTTGTCTCCCTTCACTACTCGTCTCCCCTGTTCTTCGTGTCTCCCTGGCCGAACCAAACCAACGTCGTCATGTTCGTAGGTGGTGGGAAGCCAATTCAAGCGCTCATCGTTGTTGTCTGGGAGGTCTTCTTTCGGGTCGAGGTGTGATGGATCCATGGGGTTCAGACCCGATCATGTTTTTTCCCCAGCTCGGCTTTGACGGCAAGCCGACCGCCAGCGGTAGCGCGGCGGCCGATGCTCCACGAGGCTTGAAATGCTCCAATGGCAACAAGTGAGTGCCTGCCCAGCTCAGATGGTGGACAAGGACATCATCGGTGGCCGCATGGCACTCACCGACGGAAAAGCGCGATCGACGGAGCGCACTCCTCGGGCTTCTCGACGGAGCGGCCGCTGATCGAGTGTGCCTCTGGACGGGTTTAAAGGTTGACTGTCCAGTCCCACCGTCTCACCCATCGTGTTTGGGAAGGGTTGGCAACCATGAAACATCGTTGAAGCAATGTAATAAGAGTTAGAATTTTGAGGGGAAGAGTTGTAGACATGTGAACCCCAATTTGAACTGACCGAGCTTTGTTGAGCCAGCCCAGAAAACTTCAGCTATGATGTAGACTGTAGACTGATGAATCAAACTCACCTAGCATCTCCTGGCTTACCAGTAGAGGCTGAAGAACCCTATAGACTATCCTAGCTTGGTGCCCCCAGGTTTTCCGGGTCCTAGTGACCTGGTCACTGGCTACCTCTGCTGGTAGGATTTGAAGATCAACCCCAAGAAGGTCACCTCGGAACCTGGGGACCCATGTCTTTCGTCTTCCGTCTACCCCGGTGACTGCAGGTCCGCCGCTGATCCGTGGTGGGGTGGAGTGGTGACCGGTGACCGAAAGCCAAGGCCAGAACTTGCAGAGTATCCCTCACGTGCCTGCAGCTGCATCGATCGAAAACGAGTGGTGCAGGAGGGGCTTTGAGTAAGAAGTTTCGTACGTGGATTGAGTAGATGGCACTGGCACCCCAAGATATCGTTTATTATAGAAGGCTCCATGGACCAGCCAACTTGGGGCGCCCAAACCGTGCAATCTACGCTGAAAAACTGAGTGGTCTTCCAAGTCCTTCGACCGTCCAAGACGGAGTGGTCGACTGGTCGACCGGGGCGTCGTGATTTCGACTGGGGCACCCCTTCTCAGATAGACATGTTTTGACGGTCTCGAGCTCTGTTGTGAAAAGCTCTGCCCAGGGACAGTCCACTTCAACTCTACTTGGCACCCCCGATTCGTCCTTCCGCATGCGACGTTCATCCCCGATCCGCGGGCGCACCGCGGGCGCATAGCGGATCGCACGGCGCACGGCTCTGATGTGGGAGGAACGATGGCACGACCGGCCCAGGGAGGAACGATGCCCCCGGTGAAAAGACCAAGCCGCAGATGCTTTTCACTCACAAAGGAAGGGTCAGGAAGGGTACTCGTGTCGGAGGAGACCCGAGGAGTCGAGTCGGAAGGATTCTGAAAACGAATGAAAAGTCGGGTCAAGCGTATAGGTCGACCCACTTGGACTTCGTGAACGGGGCCGCTAGGGTCAGGTTTCTCCCACTGAACATGAACAGTTTTTCGTTCGCCAGGTTAAGTGATCCCCTACTACCGGTGTTTTGAGATCCACCACTGCCACACCCAGACGCTCAAAAATATACTTACTGTACATACATTGTGCCGGTTGATGGCGTCAATGTTGCCATATTACATTCTATACATGGAGCATCTGGGATATGATACACCCTACCTAGATCTTCCAACGGTGCAACATGTTTGCCTTTTCATCTAAAAAACAGCTCAAAGGCACCATTTTTGTAGTTGGCAGATCCAGGTCCTAGGTCCTTACTAGGTCCTTATAGGTCCTCCCGCTTTGACCGCCACGTCGGTCCTCCCTGGTCTCGAACAGGCCGCCGTTTGAGCGGAGAGCGATGTATAAAAGTGGAACTGAAAACGCACTTCTGAGGACCAGAGACGGAGTCTAAGACATGGAACCAGAGAAGTGGAACTCAAAGCGATGACCAGAGAGGCGGTTTTTGCTTTTCAGATATAACCCAGACACGACTGGATGGGACTGGCATATATACTGATCAGGCCAGGGGTGGTGCCAGGGGGGAAGCCTATATATGGCAGTCCCATGGAGTGTCTTGGGTAAGGCCATGTCGTTCTGAGAGATTATGAGTCCTTTTCCTGGATCTCTCAGAAGTGACTTTTCCCATGGATGGTTTGGATTTCTATCCCTAATAAGATATATCCTATATCCAAAAAAGTGTGCAAGTGGATTATAGATTCTTTACATCTGATCTGAATAAATTAAGATTTTCTTTACAGCGGTCTACCTCGACACACTCAACCTGAACAATCCCTCTTGATTGTCTATTAGCCCTTGGAAGAGGCTGAGTTTTTCAGTGGCTGAATACATCGAGGAACCGAACCAGACTCTCTCCGAACACCCGAACATCGTGACCAGGTAGATGAGTCGAAGGCACGGGAGGCAGTGACAGGAGGATTTCTGATTGTCCAATGTACCTGGAGTCAAGGAGTCACAGGCTCGGGGTGGTTTGCCTCGTCCCATCCGTCGCAGGCGGTTGCTGGATGTGACAGGAGCACCTGCGCTCCGGAACCGGAACGGGCACCCCGAGCTCGCTCGCTCTGTGACTGCTGGTAAGTCACTCTTCAAGTCCGGAGCGGTTTCCCTTCCCCAGGTCACCAGCGCCGCGGTGTGCCAACGCCTCTGCACCGAGCGCAGCTGCGGCGCCAGCGCTTGGGGCGCCGCACGAGAGCAGCCAGGTGGCGCGCGAGAGCAGTGAGGGTGGGGAAGATGGGGAAGATGGCCCCCCTTCTCATCAACAACTACGAGGTCTCGTCCTCAACGTCTGAACACCTTCAACATGCAATGCAAAGTACTAAAACATGTGTGTGTTTTTCGAGAACACTGGAAAACACGCACCCGTTTTTGACGGCCTTTTCTGTTTTTGTTGGCACCCGCAAATAGAAAAAAGTAGATCCCGCTTTCAATGTGGTTAGCGGGTTTCTGACCGGGGACCACGAGAGAAAAATCCGAAACACGCGGAGTCTAGAGATGACGAAGGAGATCGACGAAGTAGCAAGCTGACCGGAGTTTCCGGGGCCGACCAGGAGTCTTTCTCAGGTAGTTGAGGTGTAACATACCAGGACCTTCCAACAAGGGCTGCCCTGGCTGGTTTCGCCCTGGAAGCCCCTAAACCACTAAGGGACCTCCAGCCAGGAGACCCCGAAAGAAGGTCCAGGTAAGTTTGGTGGACATTACAAGCAAGGTTGGTCGCGGACACCAGTGGCAGGGGAAGCTATGTCCGCTTTCTACTATGTTTGGCAAGATGCAAAAAAAGAAACAGTTCCTGAATCCTCCGTCCTGGGTCACCAATAGACTACCCTACACATCCCTACACTCATTACTTATGGTCGTCCAGTTGGTGTTCAACCAGATGCTTCTGATGAAGCTGTCATGTTCGATTGCAAAGCTTCCACCATCCTGTTTTAGGGCTTCGGATTCGGAAGTCAAACAGCTTGACCTCATTGGGGCCTTTAGGTGCTGTGTGGGTGCGGTATTGGAACATGAAGATCTCCCAGGTCGACCACCTGGACGAAGGCAGTTCTGCCTGGATCCTCCAACGACCAACTGGTGAATCAAGCGGTCTTTCTTGGTGTTCCGCGGGTTGGGGGACCCGCAAATCAGCGCCGTTTACGGCAAAACGACCGCAAACTAGCGCAAGACACACGCAAAAAAAGAGAAACAGCAAAGGACCCACACAAATCCGGAGAAAAAAACATGAACGAAACAAACAACGACCAAAACGTCCAGAAAGTCTTGGTAGTTGGAAGGTCCAGGAGAGACCAATGCCAATGCCCATGGTTGAGGGTCTCTCGATTTCACACGCAGTTCGACCTTGCAAGTTGACTATACCCTGGAAGACGATCCCATGGACCCTGAAAACCACTGGTTGGTAGAGGAAAACCATCGGACCCAGGGGGCCAGGACGTCAGGGTCTATGTGAGTTTTCGGGAGTGTATACTTCTACTTGCAGGCCAGTCCTTTGTGGGCCAATTCGAGTTGAGTAAACGAGACTTTGCCCACACCATCCCACACCCATACACGACTAGTCTGGGACTGCCATAGGACTGCCGAGAAACGGCCAGGGGTGGTGACATGGAGTGGATGGGACATGCAAGATACAGGTCCTGAAGACACAAGGCTCTTTCAGCACCACCAGCACCACCACCATGCTTGTGTGCTCGGCGGGCTCCCCACCACCTCACACCCTCGGCACCACCTCACGTTCGAAGCTCCGGACGCAGGACTCACCGACGTGTGCTTCTTGAAGAACATCGACGGCGAGGCGCCGTGAACCGGAGACGGGTGACAGGTCCGTCGTGAAGCGGAGACCAAGTCGTACCTTCTCAGGTACGGTGATTGGAGGCACTGTTACCCTGGGAGTCAAAGATTATAAACAGAATGGTCTGATGAACGGTGACCGGAAAAGGAATATGCTTTACTTCAGTGGGGCAAAATATAGTCGAACTGGACTTCTAGGGTTATGTAGGTGCCAGGAGGGTCCAGTCGTACCGAACCTGAGAAGGTTCTTGGATGAGTCTGGGACTGCCAGTCCGGACTGCCGGGCTAGTGGTGCGGAGGAGTGGTTAGACTGGCGGTCTGGCTTGATCGGCAGTCCGGCAGTCCTGGTCGTGTCTGGGAGGGCGGCCGAGGCGGCCGCGGCCGTGGAACAGGGCAGATCGAAGGCCCAAAAGGAGGGGATTGGGGAGGTCTCTTGAGAGGGCAAGAGGGAGCTCAGGGAGGATGGAGCCAATGGATGGGGCGAAGATCTCTCAGTGTTCTTTCAAGTTCAGCAAAGCTTAACCTGACCTCAGAGCCCCCTGACCTCGATGTATGTTCCATCATGTTCCATCCAAACCACCCTTTGCATCGTGGCAGATGATTCAGTGCATGGCTCTTTTGGGCTCCTCGCTTCGGCGGCTACACGCCGGACGGAGCTCGTGGCCTCGCCACGTGGGCGGCGTGGGCGGTCGCGGCGAGCGGGCGGCGGCAGGTGCAGTTCAAGGACAACCCCGGAGTCGTGGCCTCCTTGCCCTGCTGCCGCGGGGGAGAGGTTCGGCGCCCCAAGTAGTTTGGTACGTGCGTGGTTTGTCGTGGCGTGGAACGGGAGAGAGGGGCGGAGAGCTAAATCACTTCTGGAAAAAGGGGAGGGAGAGGAGGTGCCCTTCACGAGCGGAATCGATAAAGGGGAGAAAAGGGGTACAAAACCACTCAAATCCAACGGAGCTCGTGGAAAGTGCGGGTTGTCGATCCGCCGGTCGATCCGGGCGAACTGAGGGTCACTGAGGGTGGACACTGGAAAGGAGTGTGGACAGGTGAGGAGGTGATGATGCTTTCATGAGGAGGTATCTTGATCCTGCTTCAGGTTTGGAGTGTCTCCAATGACCTGAGAAGGTACGACTGGATCGCTAGGCTTGAGCAAAAATCAAAAGCTATAAGAATCCGGGCATATCCGGGCCCAAACCTCCCATGAAGAAGAGAGTTTTCTGGGTCCGGACCCTTTATCGCCAGTGCCATGAAAGGTCCAAGGTTTTTGAGGGAAATGTGAAGCACCCAAAAGAAAGACTGGTTGTCATTCGTAAACGAGGCAGGTCAACAGCTTGCCGGATAATGATCAAACTGTTGTTTAATCACTGTCACTTTTTGCACTTTTTGGTGGCAGCTTGTTGCTACTAGTTGAGTTTGGGAAGGGGCACTCCTTGAAAAGGAGTTCTTAGTTCATCGAACTGTTGCACCTGCCTTTTTTCAGGAAAGACGATGTTGAACCCCCCCACAGGCTGCGAGTCCGGAGCTCCAACACCGTCCCCTCCATCCATCGTGCCGAGTCCAGAGATCCCGAAGGGGGGGGCGGCGGTTCCCTAAGTCCGGAGGTCCTGGGCCTTCTCTTGCCCACCAAAAAGACCTCCGACCCCCGCGGAACCCGACGCGACTTCCCGGTCTCGGGCGACCTGGGCTCCGCTCGCCGACCCGCGGAGATCCGAGACCTGAGACCTGAGACGAGGCGGATTTGTGTCCGGCGTTGCTGCCCGAGACCGATGTGGTCACACCCGACGGCCTGGAACCACAACAAGGCCGGAAACCATCCGACCGTTCACGGCGGAACTGGGGCACCGCGGGGTACGACACGGACGGCGCGGAACGGAAACCGGAGCTGCAGGGTGAAAGGGGAGGCCTGCTGAGGTGCTGAGGTGGCTTTTCTCCCTCGACTTAAGGGGGAATGGATCGAGAATGGATCTACCAGGACCCTCCTGTCGGGGTGCCCTGTCTGGAAGCCTACAGGTAGTGTGGGGTAGTCCATTGGACACCCCGACAGGAGGGTCTAGGTACTTGTAGACCCTGATGCTCGGTGGACAGTTGGATGAAGAACCTGCGCCAAGTCGCGAGCGGGTGACCGCTCGAGAAAGCGGAGTGTGTAGACCAAAAACGGACAAAAACCGACCTCACCAGGTACGTGAAAGTGTTCAATGTTGTTGTTCCAGATGTTTAATGCCCAGACACTCCATGGGACTGCCATATATGCCGCCCCATTGACCCCCAAAACCACCCCAATGGAGTGTTTGGGATGTGTTCCTTTTGGTTCGCACGACCCTGCCGCCGGATCCGTTGGTATGTTGTTGTTGGTCCAGGCTTCGGAAGTAGCTCGGAAGTAGCTCACAGACGGTTGATCAGCCCAGTGAACAGAAGGTCACATTCCTGAGATGTGAGTGGATACACTCATCTTCCTGAAAGAGGACATTCACCACCTGTTTGGTCTTCGGATTTCATCGGATTTCATGGTTTGGGGTCAGCGTGGGAGAAGCGAACTCTCGGGGCAACTCTTAGGGAGACATCGAGCAACAATCACATGAAAAGAAACGAAAAGTAATAATATCCAAATTACTTACCCTGGGAGTCAAAGACTATAAAAAGAATGGTCTTTAGGTGACCCGAAAGGGAACTTCCTTTACTTCAGTCGGTCAAAATATAGTCCAACTGGACTTCTAGGGCTTACAGTATTTCCAAGATCCAAGTTCATTTGATCAAAAACGTTCTAGGACTGTCTTGCAGAAAATCATGGATGCAGGACTCACATGGACCGCAGCATGGACTCCTTGAAGCCATCGGTCGGTGCTCTTTTCTCTGCCCGCGCGGCTCCCGCTTCGCCTTTCCCTCGCAAGGGCCCTCGCGGTGCCAGGTGTGAGCAGTGCGGAGGAATGCCAACAGATGTGCACCAAAGAGCCTTCCTGCAACGCTTTTGCCTGGGGTGCCGCCAGGAGCTGGAGATGGGAGCGGGAGATCCCTACAGGTCTGGGGATTTGGAGGGGAACCGGTCGACTTCTGCTCATGACGCTCTTGGGTTGGAGTCCAGTGCTTTTGGAGGATGTCTCAGGTTGGATGAATCCAGAAACTGACACTTGCATGCGAGTTGAGAAAATGCAGGCCGGACTGGGTCATGATCCCTGTCAGCCGCAACGGCCATGAACATGGTCGACCAAAAATAGTGCGACGGCCTGCGGGATCCACGTCGAAGATTGGTGTGACTCGTGTCATTCCCTATTCCAACCATCATTGATTTAATAGCCTTTATACAGTACCCAACAACCCTTGTTCTACTAAGGGCTTTACACTACTCAAACCAGGCCCACCATGTTTCCATTGGTCTTTGAAGGTGTTTGGGCATGTCCATCTTCTGCCAGCGCACGACAGGCATGACAGGTGCAGGAACGTGCCGTGGCTCAGCAACGCAGGAACGCGCCGGGGCTCACGGATGTTTGCTTCATGAAGACCATTGGAGAGGGTCAAAAGCCGAAGCTGGTGGACAAGCCCGGAGTCTTGGCAGGCGAGGTTTTTTCATGACGGCGGCTGTTCAAATGACGCCCGCGGTGAACGCGACCCCCCGGCGGTTCTTTCGGTGGCAAAGTCGTCGAACCGCAGAACCAACACGGTCACCACGGTCACCACGACCGCTATGTCCAGTGTTCGTTTCGACCCACAAAACAAGGAGCTCCAAAACGTCGGATGGCACCATGCCACCGGCGCGACGTCGTCGCGCGACATCGTCGCAGCGACTGCGTGGGAGGGCGAGTTCGACGAATGGACGATCGACGGTACCAGCTGTGAGCTGGGTTGGTGATGTTTGCTGATTTTCCTATGGATGCGTCCCCCGGTCATGGGGAATTCGCTGTAGTTCCCCCGGTTGGACAGCGAATCCACTCTCCATAGCAGGTGGTCAAAAGGTTGGTGTGTTTGGCCTGAGGTGGACCGTGGATGGTCTGAGGTCTGTGCGGATCAAACAGACCAAACGGGTGGGTGGATGTCCACTTCCCAGCTAGGATGCTATCAGGTGGAGGCCATCGCCAGTAGGTTGGAGGCCACTGCTAGTATTAAGACTTGGGAAGCAGCCAAAAAATGGTTTGGAAATTAAATTCATGTGTTTGTAATGTTTCACTTTTTAAATGATGTTTTTAATGATTGAATTATGCATTGAAAAATATCAATTTGTGGTTTATGATTTTTTACGACTAAATTTATGATGTTTTGTACGACTAACAATTAAGGTGTGGTATGTAAATGACTCGGACCGAACTCGCTACTACTAGGTTGGAGGCCATCGCTAGTCGGATTGAAGGTGTCCTTTTCCGACTTTCTTTGTCCTGGCTTTTGCAAAGAGGGTCTTTTTGTTGGGCCAAGATATTTCTCTCGTTTCTTACTTGGTTGGGCGCGCAAGTGCCCTGGTGAGGAAACCAATCCGACTGCAAGGGAATGCATGAGATGGATAACCCTGCAGGGAGCACTCCACTTGTGGCTTCTAAGACCAAATCCTGACCTTCTGCGATAACCACACCGAGATACAAAGACCCACCACATTCCACCACCTTGCCCGATCACCCGCCATTTGCAAACACGACCTGTGGTAGTTGGGACTTGCAGATGTACCTGGACCCTCCAAAGTACCTTAGAAAATGGGACATGACCCCATAAAAACAGGTACGAGTGGGACCCCATTTTTCCGAGGTACGTACGGGTCGACTCCAGGTACATCCCAAACGAGGTGGTTGAAGCTGCGCGCTATGAACAGCGGCCATTTGTAAACACCAGTCCTATGAGTCTTGAGTTGCACGTGTGGTGTGATGCGACGAAGTGTGTGTGTGTGTGTGTGTGTGCGAGCATCAATCACCCCAAAACCTGCCAAACAGTATACTTCACCTCCTCCAAAACGACCTCTACATACCTCAACCAGCCCAAACTCAAACCTCGCGAAGCAAACGACCTCCACCAGCCCTTCTACCTCGCGATAAAAAAAGGCGTGAAGACCCACGATCCATCTGAGCGGTCCCGTCGCAACGGATGTGGAAGGCCTCCCCTGCGCCTGCCGTGCGCCGGTGGAACACGCCTTGTGGCCCTCCTCAGAGGCACCCTGGCACGGTCGGCAGTGGTTGGACGCGGAAGGTACCCCGCGGTTCGGGTCAGCGCAGGCTGAACAGACCGACCCCCACATCCAACCACGCACTGAGAATTGAGAGGGAAAGTGGTCACCCAAACACACACAACATGCGCAGGGGTTTATTGAAATAGGGACACCTCCCAAGCGTTCCAACCCCCTGGAAGATGAGAAATAGACCAGTCTACCCATTGGTTCCAGGTCTCCATATTGAACTAAGTACACATTGCAGCCACATCCACATACTACGTAGCTCAGGTGGCACTCTTCACCATGCCGGAGCCAGCGCCGCCGCAGCCTGCCCAGCCGGGTTCGGCCTACTGCGTCGTCCTGCCACTTGGATCCCCTGGAGCCGCGCGCGGGCCGTTGGAACGGCGAAGCGAAGCGATGCTGAAGTGAAGTTCGTTGGACCTCGAGTTCATGGCACCTTCATGTTTCCGTGCGTCCAGTCTGACCCAGGTCCAAACCTGGTCCGACTTGTTCCTCCTGAAGTATGGGTTTTGTATGACCAGGTTCAGTATTTCATGAGGTCAAACTGACTTGGTTTGGACCATTGGACCCCCTCAAACACCACCCGTTGTCAGCGTTGGACTCAGGGGGAACCCCTTTTCCCCGAGTCCAAGTCTCCGGCGTCCAAACGCGACGCGATCGGTGCATCGGGGTCAAACGCGATCGAGCGCCAACAGAATCCACCACTCCGACAGTTTGGATTCTGGAGATTCTACAGACCTCTTCAATCGATGTATAGCTACAGTAATAGTAGTAGTAGTAGTAGTAGTAGTAGTAGTAGTAGTAGTAGTAATAGTAGTAGTAGTAGTAGTAAGTAGTAGTCATAGTGGTAGTGGTAGTGGTATAGTAATAGCAGCTTCTTGTTACTAGTAGTAAGGCCAGGAGCGCCCCGAACGTCGCGTCCGATCGCTCCGACGTCCCACATCGACCTCGAAAACCGCTCCGGCGAACGGATCCTCGAAGATCATCGTTTGGGGTCGGACTTGCCTGTAGAGCCGTCAGTGAACCAGCACCGACTCTACAGGTCTCCGAGTCATGGAGGCTTTTGTAGACTTTTTCAAGTCGCGACGGTGGTGACCTGTTGGAAGGTCCTGGAACATGGCATCACTATTTTTCAACTACCCAGATGCGACCCGTTCGGCCCCGAATTCTCTGGAGGGGTCGGACCCGAATCCTATGGAGGGGTCTGGGGAGGGACCAGTCGGGTTGTTTGGAGCGTCTGGCTAAGGCCACTTTAATAACCATCATCATCCACTGGGCCCTGGTAATGGGATAGACCCAAATCATCATCCGCTTGTGTTCTTTCTCGCCGCCCCAGGATGCGCGCCTACACTTATGAAGCGGGCTTGCTGAAGATCCAGTTCGATCAGCGACAAGGCATCTTTGCCTGTGGCGGCTATGACGTCTTCAGCAACCAGGCGCGTGCCACACAGAGGGGTTCATGGATGGACCTGAAGTACGTCCTTCTATTCCAAGCCCGTTCCCATGGCTGTGGTTTCGCTAGATAGTAGGTAGGGACAGTGGGAATCTCGTTGATCTTGGTCCGGTTGATAGAGGAATACCCTCCCTCCGAATCATCATGGGCCAACGTGGAAGAAAATCATGGGCCAACGCCAAAAACGGATGACCAGAAGTGTTCCGAAGACCCAGATTCAGCTGGTCCTTCACTCGCTCCACGTCCAACCATGATCATTTCCGGGGGTTCCTGTGCCTCATGATCCCTAGGGCTCCTACCTCCGAAACGAAGGTATCTGGACCCGAACATGGCACCCACCCTAAACACATCTAAACACCTTCTCAGAAGGTACGACAGGAGCCCTAGGGGCTGAGTGAAGCATGAAACTCCGTGGGTTTTGCGGTGCCCAACATCGAACTTTTTTGTGAATTCGTGGACGAATTGGGCACAGGTGTGTTCAACGATACCTGAAAAAATGTGTGTACTAGAATACAGGGAGACCTCTGGTCTAGACCCCTAATAGACCACAGCCCATTGGTGGGGAGATTCCTTCCCAGAAAGAAAAACAGATGGCTTGGGGCTCATGAGCCTGGAAGATACAAACATGTTTAGCAGGTGCGATCGTACATGAACCATTGGACGTTCCATGGTAGACTCTACTTCCATAGAAGTCCTTGGGGTTAAAAGCACCAGTCTATGGCTGACCCAGAAGTCTTTAACCAGGGACTTAGTTTGTATTCTGGAAGTCCGGCTCGGACCATGAACATGGGGTTGATCTGGTTTTGTAGTGTAAAATGCTTATGTAAGACAATTGGTTGGTTCGGGATTCAGACCATCAAATCATATTAACTCAATGCTTGGCCAGGCATCTCAGCATTTATCCTTGTTGCGGACTCTTTGCATGGCAATTGCGCTTGGCGCTTGCTGCAGAACACAACCATGACCACCCTCCTACACACTAATTTAATGTCGGTTGAACTGTTGAACAATGTTGAACAGACCTCTTTTATTAAGAAAAATGGATTTCACATGAGCAGATCATCAAGGATCTCACACAGTTGGTTCATATGTCATATGACCAATCCTTTTTGGGTGGGAAGGCTTGCAATGTGCTACTCCAGGTCTTGCGCTCGGCTGCAATGCTTCCGAGCGCATCGAAGATGGAATGGACCTATATCTCATTCAAATCACCCAGACACGACCCGGACCTGGGACTGCCAGTCCGGACTGCCGGTTGTGGTGCGGCCAGGGGTGGTGTTTGAGGGGTGATCGGCAGTCCGGACTGGCAGTCCCAGGTCCGGGTCGTGCTTAGGTGAAGTAGAAGAGAAGGACACGTCCAGAACGACCCACGTGGAAGCCCAAGAACTGGTCTTCGTCTGCTCACTCCTTCACGGTTGGATCCAAGCTCGGATGGCTCCCGAGACGGCTCCCCTGGTCCCGAGGTGTTGGCGGGTCGGAGCTCAAAACCATCCTCAAAGCCCATCCCTTTTCCCAGCCCCTAGAAGTCCAGTTCGACCATATTTTGACCGGTTGAAGTGTTCAGGAAGTTCCCGAACTCAGGTCCCCTAATTAGTCAGACCCTTCTTGTTATAGTCGACTGGACTCCCTTTTTCCAGCCACATCTCAACCATCTTCCGAATCCAGGCCGCCTTCCGAACCTCTGGGTGGCCCCCCAGGTCCCAGGATGTCCCAGGTCCCACCGGTGGTGTGGTCCGCTTTCCGTCGCCATGGGCGGTTGGGGGGGTTGGATCGGCTTTTTCCCCTGACGGCGCCAGGAAATGGTTTTGGCGGATGGGTTGAAGACCAAGAAGGTGAGGTCAAGTCAGATGTGCGAAGTTGGTGGAGAGCAGCTTGGCACGTTCTGGGGCTTTTTTTCTCCTCACTAGCAGTCTAAACAAAGGTGCAGGAAGTGGTGGTTGAACATGGATGGACCTCAAAACACAAAAAAGAATTGCATCGTCACGGGACAAAGACACCCTGTGGGCCACCTCCTAGAAGCTGTACCCCGGGTAGAATCTTCGCCCACCATTGATTTAATAGCCTGAATCCCAAAAGAACCAATTGTTTTACTAATTATTAAGGATTTTATAGTGACAAGACGATCTTTCCCATTCAAAAAAAGGGTCTTGGACTTCCAGGGATACTAATATATTTGGGGTCTGTCCGAACTTACCTGTAGAGCCGTCAGTAAACAAGAACATCACTAATTTTGGGCAAGGCCTGGTACCTAACCATGATCAAAAAACTGTTACAGGAAATAGGATAGACCCAAAATATATCTGCAAATTCTGCCAACCTTGGCATCAAGGCGAGGTCCAGCGCGTGAGGCACCCATGTCAGGATGAACGCAGTGTCAAGGTTAATAGCAATGGCCTCCAACCTACTAGCGATGGCCTCCAACCTCCAACCAAATAGCGATGGCCTCCAACCTAATCGGGTTTGTTTTGGGCATGATCCTGGTGAGACGCACAATGGGGTTGGTTCGTGTATGGCGACACACAGCCGCGATCTGTGCAGATCCACCTTTTGGGGGGGGCTGAAACCGAGGTTCAAGACGGCGCTGAATCTCCGGATTTTTGCGGCCTTTTGGAAGGAGATCTTTATCCAGAAGGCCGGAGTTCAGAGTGACGGATGGTGTGACGTAGAGATGAGGTGTAGTGTGTGGTTCACTGGCTTCCGAGACCATTAAAAACATGGTTGACCTCGTGTTGTAGAGCAAAATCCCTAGTAAAACAATGGTGGCTCAGTAGAGTCATTGAATTAATGGTGGGTCAGGAATCCTACAGTACACCTTCCTGTCGGGGTCACCAGTGGAAGTTCCTGCACTACTAGAAGGCCCGGGATTGAAGAACTTTGGGGGGGACGTTGTGACGAATCACAGGTCGGGACCGGTTGACTATCTTGATGTTTCCTCTACCCTGGGAGTCAAAGACTATAAAAAGAATGGTCTGACTAGGGGACCTGAAAGGGAACTTCCTTTACTTCAGCCGGTCAAAATATAGTCGAACTGGACTTCTAGGGTCTACTTATCTTACAAAACCACCACCCAGGCTTTTCGAATAGGTTGTTTCAAAGACTTGTTTGCTGAAAGATGGGCCTACCACCAGCACCTATGCAGGTCGGGTTATTGGATGGAAAATACCTCTTCAGGGGGGTCTACCGCCCGTTGTGCTGAGCTGCTGGTCGGCCCGTTGTTTTTGGCTCCGTTGAACAACCCAACCACAGTCTCAAGTAGCTTCGGGAAGTCTCTTCTCCGAGCTCGATTCCAAGGGGTTGAACTCCTCAGGTTGAGCCCATGTCCTGAGCGAAAACATCCAGATGATTCCAGATGTTTTCTTGACTGATCTTGACTGTCCTCTGGCGTACTCTTAGACCCTGAGTAAATTTGGTTTCCAGAGGATTTCGTTCTAAAACCACTAGCTAAAGGTCGTGGTTTTCAGGTTCCATATGGTTCCATGTTACTCTTCCCGAGTCTAATCACTCCAAAGCAACCAAACCCGCGCTTGGCCGTAGCCCGGGCGCCCCTCGAGCAACGACCAGGTCTTTATGAATTACAACTGGTTCGTCAAGGCGCTGGCACGAACGAAAGCAGCCGACACCTCGGCGCCGGTGTCCTCCATGCTTTTTCTCCCCAAAACCAGCCAATCGCGCTGAACGGAAGGGGTCTCCTGTTTGGTGACATATACCTAGACCCTCCAAAGTACCTTAGAAAATGGGACATGACCCCTAAAAACCAGGTGTCCCCATTTTCCGAGGTACGTACGGGTCGACTCCAAGTAGAAAGCTAGTGCAGGCTTGTGTTTTGGGGTCCGGTGCACAGAGCCCCCCCGCTCCCCCGGCCTCCGCGGCCTCCGGCGGGTTCCGCGGGACGCGCGGGACGCGCGGGACGCGGGGGTTCGGAGCTTCCGACGGCGGTCATAAGGAACCTGCCGGGCTTGGAGAGAGCTAGATACCCAGACACGACCCGGACCTGGGACTGCCAGTCCGGACTGCCGGTTGTGGTGCGGCCAGGGGTGGTTGACTGGGGTCAATGAAGGTGCATATATCATTATAATGGCAGTCCCATGGAGTGTCTGGGTGTATAATGTCTATATTTAGTCAGGCTATAGATAGCAAGAAACCATCAAAGACTTCACCCACAGATATAAAACAAAAGAAAGATTTAAGGTTTCTAGGTGTTTTACCCTGACACCAGACCACCATGCTGGTCAGTGGTTCCCTCAGAATCCTTGGACCCATTCACGCGCGTCCAACTCGACACCCTCCAAACCCTTGAAGGCCGGGAGTCTTCACCTTGATGAGTGAGATGTCGACCTCAGTACCCTGGGAGTCCAGTCGACTATACAAAGAATGGTCTGACGAGTTCGGTGACCCAAGTCAAGGAATGTCCTTTACTTCTAGGGTGTAGCTAAAGAAAAACATCTCTTTGGCACGCGGAGCTTGAGACACGAATCGACTTCATCTGAAGAACGCGTGGGTGCAGTCGTCGTAGGCGGACGCCGATGCTGTCTTCGTGTACTCACGGTTGCCGCAAGTCCTGCCGCTGGGCTGATTGGAATCGAAGACGTACAAAAAACGACTAGTGGGACTGGCATGTACACCTACATTGATCCTTGAAACCACCCATAATGTAGACATACCTAGATCTTCCAACTATTAATGTATGCCTTTTGGCTGGTTTTGATACACTCAAAGGCACAAATGTTGCACAGTTGGAAGGTCTAGGTATCAGTCCCATGGTGCGTGACAGGGAACTTGCACCGCACTCAAGTGCGTCAGACGGAACACCAGGTCTGAACTCTGTAAATCTCATGGTCTTGGCAGGTCTTGGTACCTCTGTGGCTGCTGTAAAACACATGCTCACCCCACATCTACACACTGGGAAGACTTGGGAAGACTTACAGAGGTTCAACTGAGCGACCTCACGTTTGTTCAGCTTCGTTTTCAGTTGATGAAGATCAGGATACAGCTGAGAGTTCTTTCGTTTCGACCTAGAAGGGCACTTATCGGATGGGAACTTCTTCCACATCCCTTTTGCAAGGTCCAGAGCCCACAGGGAAACCACACAGGAACACATATACATATACAATGTTCGGATGCCAGAAAGGTTGCTGGAAAGCGGTTTCGTGTGGGGCACGCGATCGAACACATGTTATAAATACAGATCTACCAGGACCTTCAAAGTGACCTCTTTGGAGTCTCTATGTGACCTCTTTAGGGACTAAGTGACCTCATTCTAGGATCTCAAAAGGTCACCTTGAAGGTCCTGATAATCGTTTAAGATGCCACCTTCCAAAGCAAGATAGTGGTTCCTTCGACCGTGGTCGAACCACCACAGCGAGTACAGCGAGATTCTTCGCAGCTTTGACTTCTGGTTAGATTATGAACCCCGGGATTCCAACAATCGTTGCTTCATGTGATCATCCGCAGCGTCCCCATCCAACATGCTCGCACCCCCCCGCTGGACCACGTACAGTTGCTGAACGGCAGCTCCACAGCAGCACCGCATGGTCTTTACATGTCTTCACCCATATAGAACTATCCACTAGTGTTATAGTTCCAATTTTTTGCACATGTTTGCACTAACTACTAAAACTAGGTCAACCGAATTCTTTGAAGGCAACCGGGTGAACCATCTTTTCCATTGCCCACTGGACTTCGCCATGGAGTGTTCATCGCCGTGGATCAAGCAGAGCCCGTTGCACCATCGGTTGACCTTCCTCCTAGTCCATCCCAGACATGACCTGTGGTGGTTCACTTGGCATATTTACATACAAAACAGGGTGCTTGACCTGGGCTATGAGCACATCTTCCATTCGCATGGCTCGTGTTTGGTCCCACCCAGTCGTGCCGTCGTGCCGTCGTGCCGTCCGTCCGACGACACAGGTCAGAATACGACGACCGTGCATCCGGAAGCAGCGGAGAGGGGGCTCCTTGGCGCTTCGTCGGTAGCTCTGTGGGTCGGACGAACATGGGCTCCAATCTACTCGGGCCCACATGATATCAAGAGTGGGTTGCCTTGGACCCACCGCGATGTTGCCAGGAGTATGGTCCAAACATCCGCAATACACCCTTAGCCGTAAAGCGAGCCGTCCAGTTGGGACCATTTGTGGCAACGCTCTGTGTTCAGTTGAAATGCTTTCACTCGGAAAACACGGACCTCATCGGACCATCTTGACATTAGGGTCTAGGACCGTATACCCCGTGCTTCCTGTCGCCAATGGACAACCCTACAGAACTCTCAAACAGTCTCCATTGGAAGCGCTATATATTTTATCTATGGATTCATTATAGGCTTCATGACATGAAAAAACACCGAGCTTTCAGTTGGCTTGTCAATATGGCTTTCAGTTGGCGGTCAACAAATGTTCCTGTTTCTGTGCCATGACATGTCCTTGTTTCAACATTCTCGTTGCCCATGAGCTGTTAGCTAGGATTCCTGACCCGTCATTGATTTATAGCGCGCCTGAATCTCGACCGCAACCAATTGTGACTATTACGTATTGCGGTATTTGTACAGCTCTTTCCCTTCACTCTCACCTTCACTCCGCACGGCGAACGCACGAAAGAAAAACCGCACAGTATGCGAGTCGACCTCAGTCTTCTCCTTCAGAAACCGACCAGGTCCGTCCGTCTCCTCT